AGATTATGTTCATGAAATTGAGGCAGGAAAACAAGTATCATTTTTGAATCTCTATGTTCTGTGGCGTGTTATCTCAAAGGTCCTCTGCGCCACCAAGCAATATTGTTAGCACTTACTTAGCGCATTGCATGAATAATGATCCCAAAACTGCACTTTTAATAGCAATCTCTAATTAGTTATTGCGTGCAACATATGAGCGGCATGCACCTCGACCCTCTATAAAATACATTGCGAAACATTCGAAAAAGAAAACTCACTACACTTTTAAAACGATAACCGTTAGCATGGCTTCCGGTAAAGAATAAACAACGGCTAGACAGGGGCGAGGGTCGACATGATAGACGGAAAGGCTGGGCATTCTGGGCTGGGAAGTCTGGAAATCTCACGTCAACAGTTTTGTCTACGCCAGTCATCCAACACAATTGCTACCACAAGGTAGTCGGTTGAATGCAGGGTTTTAATAACCTATAATTTGAAAGCATCGCGCTATATATCACTCTATTTTGTCAGATATTGTCTAGGGCGTCCATTATGAATCTTTTTACATCATGTTGTCTGCCGCTGTAACACTGTCGCTGCAACATTTAGAAATACAATAGACACGTGTTTTGTGCGGATTAAAATGTATACATCTATATAACGTCGTGTCCTCTCCAAACGGGATGGCGGGATATATGGGTACTGGGCGAACATCTTATATAACGAGCTATCAATAAAATGAAGACAATACCCTTGTTAAGTGGCAGACAATACAGAGCCATATAAGTATAATGTGCCAAATTGAATGTATCATTTGCATAGCACATGTAGCACTTGACTAGCGTATCGTAGCACAATTGTAGAATTTTCGCTGCAGGAACAGCAAATGTGTACATGTAAGTACAGACACGTGATACTTTGGTATACAGTAGTCAAGTTCAAGTCAAACACATATATCATTTCCAAGACAAAAAAACACGAACTTTAAGTATGAACATGGGTGGGTTGCTGCAATAATAAGGGTTGAGCAATTTATTTCACGCAGGAACTTATACTTTGATATCTTGTGTTGAAGATAGGACACCAGTTATTAGTAGTTCTACCACGTCGTGGATGTTAATACACATTTCATTTGTTAATGAGTATCTGGAAGCAGATTTACTGTTAAGCAATATGTTTAAAAGTTGTTTTAAATAATTTATAATTTCCAACTGATTGTGGGCGGGTATGGATACGTCCTTGACAACACGCACTGTGTTTAATATGTTTACTTGTATGTTTTCAATACACTTGGAAACCAATGTTTCAGTTCCAGTTAGTTCAACGTGTGTTGCATAACATCAAATAAATATGTTCCAGGGGAGCAATATATCCCGGTGGTACATTAAACTGAAGGTAATGTTCCAGGTAATGTTAGGGGATCTAAACCGTCAGTCTGGGGTGTTGTTTCCTCATAGATCACGACAATGACGATGATCAAGACTTACGAGGACATCCCCGCCAGTACATATGCGCTGTATCTATACATACTCGTAACTATGATGTGCGATCATTTATACTTTCAAATTTTGAGAGAAAAAAAATCGACTTTAAGAAAACATACTTCATCTTATACAGACATAAAGATAAATACATCCTGAAGAGATGTAGTGAAAAAATATAAGCTTAGGTTCAGAAAACAAAACATTTTCCAACATATTACTGAAATTGTGCATTTTTTATATAATGACCAAAGTAACAGTTTGATAGAACGTGTGTGTGTGGTCCATAGCTGATGTGAATTGTTTTGTAATCAAAGAATCTGTTTCCTGATTCATGTGCCTATCACCAGATAAAAGCAATAAAATAGCAAACAAAATCTCGGAGCAAAAAGTGGAAACTAACCACGTCACGTCACCTATTAGCTTTACAGGTCCTCACGATTGATGGTTATACAAGGGAGACAACCGCTACAAAAACTACAAAATGGCAAACAAATCATTCCAAAACCTTCCAGATAACAATATCTTTGATCAATCGGATGAACGATTTAATATTTTGATATAAATGACGATTTTGTCTAAATATGAATTTTAATCTATACTGTCAATTCTAATATACTACAGTGTAAACATGTAATCAATACTTAACGTTGATGCGAAAGAAAACTAAGGTACCTGCTTAACTCCGTTTCCAATGCTTTACTTTGAGTTTATTCTTAAATTTTAGCATATGCTTAACTTTTGGCTTTCTATAAAATTCGCAATTCGCAATTGTTAGATTTCAGGCTAAAAATTGGACAATATTAGAGATCGTGTTTTAGAAAGGAAATCGTTTAAAAAAACTCAGCTTATCACTTTCTTCGTATAAAAATTGAAAACTGAGAACTAGGAATTAAGTAGTTTCGTGCAAGCGAGGCCTACCGGACCAAGTTAGTTATCAACGGACACTCCAGATTCGTTCCCACAGTATGACCCCGTGCACGGTTCCAACAGGAGTAATTCATAATTTTAGGTTGATACAATTTTGTTTCATAATTGTTTAAAAAGTACATGTAATGCCCGGTCACACATTCGTAGTAGTACTTGTATATCAGTGACAACGTACTAATCCGGTGTAGTCCGTAAAAAACCGTAAGAATCCGTAATTGTTTATAGTACATCAACGGCCTCAAGGATCGGTGCAGTTAGATACGGTGAACTACAAACTTGTACTAAACCGTGCTTAAATTAAAATTAAGCTGTGGAATGAACACGCGAGCACGGGAGTTTGTATACGAATTGCGTACCGTGGCAGGTCCGTGGCGCTCCGTACGAGTTCGTACTTATCCGTGCCAGACCGTTCTAATTCGTGCTAACTCGTACTTAAATCGTAGGGAACCGTCGATAATCCACAATGCCTACGCCGTGACACGTGTCATTCTGTAGCAATCCATATCACTCCCCGTTATTAACTAGCTCCTATCCGTGGTCAAACCGTAGTGCATCCATAGCGGACCACGGAGATAGACCAGTCCGGGGTCATCCGTAAGTTGCCATCCGTAGTGGATCCGGCGATCCGATCCGTGAATGTGTGACCGTGGCATAAAATAAAAAGAACAAGCAAATTCGTGGAAGTTATTTCCCCCGCTTGCAGGACATATTGTAGGTTAACATTATTGAGGTAAGGTTTAAACATGTGAGTATCGTGCTGTTGAAACATAATGTAAAGCTTGAAAAAAAGTCCTATACCTCATTGATTATCCGTAAATATGCACAAATCACATCGGTTGGCATGAGTCGAAAGTGCATACGGAATTTGGTTGAAACATCTGAACAATATCTACAGCATTTATAACACGAAAACCAAAGAGTGCCCGAGATGGGTGGAACGACAGAGGATCACAAACATTGTTATCAAGTTTGAAGGAATTTGGCTAATATTTACTAGAGTTATAAAGCGGAAACTGCAAATAATGACGTTTTTCGTTAATCAAGGGGCCATTACTCTGCCAAATGGAGTTCCATTAAAGTGGTTGTCAAACTTGGCCAGGCCCTTAATGCATTGAACATTGTTACTAAGTTTGTAAGTTATTCAAGGGGCCATAACTCTGCTAAATAGGGACCGCTGTAAATGGTCATCGAACTTGGCCGAGCCCGTAAGGAATTTAACCCTGTGACCAAGAAAATTTGTTGTAATCATTGCACGGAAACGAAGCGTGACAGACAGACAGACAGACAGACAGACAGACAACAGACAGACAGACAGACGGACCAACCCAAATTAATTTCCCCCGCTTCGGTGAAAGCGGAGGATAATATACTACAATAAAAGTACCAGCTGATAAAGCATCAAAAAATTAATTATTCTGATTATATGAAATATGACGTCATGCTTATGTTTCAGTATCAGTATTCGGCATGAAATTACACATTTTTAATATAGAAAATTCATTTAATAAAGCCTCTAAAGTAATTATTGTTGTAAGTTAAGACCTCAGTTGACCTATCTTCTGTTGCTGTACTGGGTCACCACACAGTATTGACAATAAACAGACAAATTCAATAATTTGACCACAAAAAAAAAATATAAATACATTATGCATACTTACAACAATGAACGAGATTTGGATGCGATTTGAGTGTAATCAAGCATGCTGATAACAAAAACGGTCATGTCCCCGGGGGTCATACTCCTGGTTTCGGAAGACTGGGAATGTCTAAGTACAGAAGTATGTCGGTTATGTTCGTTGAATCAGTTTTTTCTATTATATACTTTATATCAAACCCCTTTGTTTGAAAACAAATGATTTCAGATAGTAGCGTCCACAGGGACCTGATAACTTTGTCCAGCTGTATTTGAACCTAAACTAAGGTATTCAGAGTAAATTTACACGTTTTAGGGGTTTATAACCCCCTAATTTCTAGTTCATGTACAAAAAAATGTTTTAAAATAATCAATGGGGATGGCATTTTTACCGAAAGTTGATTTAAACCCCTCAAACGTGTAAGAGCCATTTATCGCCGTTGTTAAGTCTATTTTTTAAAAGTGTTACTATTCGGTTGATGTAAGCTTTACATTGGAAAAAATAAATATGAAACGTGTCTAAACATTTATAAATCAAAAGTGTTTTTAAACAATAAGTTGAGTTATTTTAGATATTAATTTTTACATTAAGATATATCTGTTCTGAAGATATACATATCTTGATAGAAAAAATAGGAAACGTATAACAGTTCAGTGTACACCGCAAAAAACAACCACTCCTTCAGATTGTGGGAAAAGGTCATCTTGATTTAAACCAGACATTTGTACTGGTAGATACTTTGTAATTTTATCTCTGACTAATTTTGTGTTATTTAACTGAAGGCAAAACATAAACTGTTACATATTCGTCTATGACGCCCGAGGTATCGATACGCAAGGCAGGAATGCGATTATCTTCTACGATCAGATTTGATCCATCCCTGATCCGCCCAATGTATTTTTCAGTCATACACATTTAAATATAACATATACACATACTTAAGTATCTTATGAATAACAGAGAGTTAGTGAAATAGTGTTAAATTTATGTCACTTTCTGCAGGACAGTGAACGGAGACAGACTGACAAAGCAACCTCTTGATTCTAGGTTGTACAAGCAAAAGGTAAGGTATCTATAGTTAACGCAGATAATCATGTTGATTACTAGCAACACCTAACCGTGTAACAAAAAAAACACATCTTTTAACGCGTTCTTTTATTTTAAAGTACTGACAGATAAAAAGTATGGTTAGTTATGGTAATGAAGTATTTGGTTGCTTTGTCCTATTCCAATTTTCCTATGTTTGTGTACGTTTTTCTTTCTTTCCTTGGATCTTTAAATTTGTTATCTTTTCTGTTTTTACGATTTTTTTTAAATAGCTCTAAACTAGTGTAAGCGACATTAACGTTTCAATGTGACATTGTATTTTTTGTAATTATCTGAAAAAGTGTATTTGCTCTCTAATTTTTTCTACTGTTTAGTGTAAACTTCACTGTTAGATACATATAACTTTCTTTGTCGTTATTGTAACACGCTAGTTGTTCTGTCAACAAAGAAGTTTGATCTGAAAACTTAATTTCTTATTCTCAATGTACTGTCAGTAAAATAAAAACAACACATACAAAATCCTTTTGTCACATTATGTATTTCAGTTTACACTCTGAAAGCGCTCTAACTAGAGTCATGAGAGAGGTGTCACCCCCTCGGATGTTGCCCCTGGCCCTCCTGCTTTGTGTGTTTGGCACCGCAACTTGGCAACCAGTTTCAGGTAAGGATGAATCTGACCCATTGCAATAATACACAGTGCTGTATAATTCAATATGTTGATTTTATAGCGCAATTTTGAATATACATGTAGTTTAGATAGTCGTTTACATTTCTTTTTAAGACACTATAGACATCTGACACACCAAGTGTACAATGTATCAAATACCATCATGATGCAAGAGTTAACCTGAATACAGGAGATATTTCTAATAGTATATCCAACCTTGAGCCAGTATTAGAGCGTATACTGTTGATTAAACAGATGTTCTGTATATTTTTAACAGTGATGGGTATCATTATCATCGCCGTTTTAAGAAAACTGCTACACATGTGTTTTAAGGATCTCCGTACCACTGTCTAAAGCTGTAACTATTGATGTTTTTTTTTTATTCGACATGCCTATAGCTTTGATAAACCATTTTGGAAAATAAAACCATACTTTTCGGGACTCTTATGAAGAAATACTAACGATGAAATAGACCAAATAAACTTTATCAACAGAATTGTTCTTTGTGCTTGTGCTTGTAATACTGTTTATTACAATGTATGATTGCTTAGTACGAGAAGTGTATTACTGTCTATACTATTATATGATAATGTAGTTTGAGGAGTTTAAAGATGTCTATCATATCAATGTGTGATTTAATGTATGATGAGTGTTATACTGTCTATCATTATAACTATCACCGTATAATGACTGTTATAGTACCTATTATATCATTGTGTTTTGTTTATAGTACTTTATGGTATGATGCGTGTACTATTATTACTCTTTTATGTGTGTGTCTGTCCATGTGCATGTGTGTGTCACTATGTAAGGGTGTGACCATGAGCGTAAATGCATTTTCTTCTCTTTCAATAGTGTTCGAATTGTACGTGTATTGTTTGTTATTTCTGTAATTCTTTATTTTTGGAGGAAATAAAGGAAATAATAATAATAATAATAATAATAATAACGGGGTTTGACCAGGACCCGGACCGTAGATTTCAGATTTGTTTTACCTTCACTTTAACAGAATGAGCTTTCGGTTAATGGAAATGTACTAAAGATATTAAAGGGAGGTCACTCTATATATATAAAACCAAAATGCAGTTGTTCAGGGACCCTTAATTTTATCTATAATTGAAACTGTAACAGCATCATGCCAAGGACAGATCAATGTGGCGGTGGCCATGGACGCGTCACAGAGTCTCGGTAAGCTGAACTTCCTCCACGTCAAAGCGTTCACGAAGGCGATAGCGGATCATCTACTTACTGATAACGATGCAGGTAAGGCGAGTGTTCGTGCTGTTTCCACAGACATTTTAAGCTGACGTAAAACAAAACTACATAAGGAAGCGTGATTTTTTGTAATGACTTATGTAAGCTCAGTACGTAAATTGCCTGAAGAGTTGTGGAAACATTGCGAGTATGATGATACTAGGACACGCACGTGCAATGGTTTCTATTTGTGAATGAAATATATAAATGTATACACATAAGAGTGATGAGAACTTACAGAGAACACACAGATATTACATTGAATAATGAGAAACGAATATTACATCGTACGCTCCCCTCAGGATATCATTGTGCAAGTCTACGTGTCAACTTTGTGGCTTAATATAACTCGTCTTTGAAAGTCCTTTGTATGGATCTCGTTGGAAATAATTGCTTTGATTTCAAACATTGTCCATAAAAATAAACTTTCAATGAGGAGCTATATTTAAAAATCAACTTTATCGGCAAATAAAACGGTAGGAATTTTGCATGAGTGCAACTTGAGTAACAGTTGAAATATTATACAATAACAGACTTTTGTGAATAAGGTGAAATATAAACCTGAAAAAGCAATATAAACCGAGGCGAACATTTCCAGGTTAATGTCATATCATATTTACCATCACTAAAGCCGTTTACAGTTTCTAATATGCTTTCTATAATTGAAAGTTTTCAATTAACTTGTTTGGATGCACGGTTTAAAATCGTACAAATCAGCTTAGGAATACAATCACGTTGGCACATACATTTTTTTTTTATGTTTGATAATTATCAAACATACAACTGGCCTTTCATATAATTATTTATCACAAGCGTTTATTGACGATTTCTCTAACGGCTTTATTTGAAAATCGCGATCCACCGGAAAACTAGTCAATGTGAGTGCTTTTAGAACTGGTCACGTGCTTAGGATTTGGCCACTGAGTTGCAAAAAGATATCAAGTATAAAACAAGCGTTATAAATAAAGATTACATGATGCACTCGTTTCATCATAAATATTGTACATATTTATATTTTGGGTTTCCAATAGACGTTCATATCTAGCTACTAGAAGTCAATTGCGCTTTTATAAAAAATAGATGTACTTTACGTTGCACTTGTAATTTTACCGAATATAGAGTTTCAGGAGGTACTGAAGAAGAAGTTCCTTTGAAAGCAAAGAGTTTAATAGAATATTAAGAACATTTGAGTTATTTGGCAAGATAACCAATCATTTGATATCCATACAAATATGTTTTGATAAACTGACAAAACACTTAAAATACAAATTGACAATAGTTTGAGATTTTTTGTTTTGACATCTACATTGTATCTATATCTTTTTTTCAAACCATTGAATTTGCAGCTAACTTCTTTGCGGTAACATTTGCTAGAGAAGTTGACGTCATTGTAGGCGAAAAGATGAATGTCAACGACACTATAGCTAAAATCGACGATTTTGACAAACAGTTGATTGCTGAGACCAATACAAATTTGGCCATAGATAAGTGCTCGTATCTTCTCAAGAACAAAGGTGACCCAGAGAAGCCTAGTGTAATCTTTATAGTGACGGACGGCCGAGCAACTAGTGGTATTTCGGTGGTCATCAAGTCCGCAAAAGAAGCGGCCGCAGACCGGAATATATTGGTGGCTATAGGGGTTGGTAAAGACTTTGCTTACGAGGAGTTACTGTCCATAACAGCCGGGAGGAAGGAGCATGTCCTCAATGGAACATTCGCCAACCTCAATTTGGACGTGTTGGAACAGACTTTGGAAACAATCTGTCACTGTAAGTAGATTGTGATTGAATATATATGCTCATGCTTCTCACTGTTCATTGAAACAGAAACGTCATCAATATATTTGAGAACATTGCATTATTTCTTTTAAATGTTTGAAAACTGTATAACATGTATCTGTTTTTGCTTTTTTATGTCAATATTGTTCATTGCCATATTGACCAAAATTATCAATATTCCGTCACCTGACCATTTTTCTGTATTTTACGACGTCACAATCATACAACATGTTATTTGTGACGCCATGATAAAATTGCAATGAATATGACAAGTTCATGTAATCATATAAGTGTTTTGATTGTATATTTCTTGTAATCTTCCTTTTTTGTTTGTATTGAAACAGTATCCGTGACGGATCCCTTTGATCCCACAATCGTCAGACCGAGTAAGTATCAATAATATATCCACTACCCTAACATTAACAGAGCGAGTAAATAAGTAGTTTAAATATTTACATAATTCTAGTCCAGCAAGTCATTACAAGATAAACAATGGGCTATATAATATCAAGGTAATGTAATACTGTATCGATAGTGTTCATATCGTAGAGCTATACAATAAGTCATTAACGATAAACAATGGGCTGTATAACATATCAAGGTAATGTAATACTTTATCGATAAGGCTCATATTGTAGAGCTATACAATAAGTCATTGAAGATAAACAATGTGCTATATAGCATATCAAGGTAATTTATTACTCTATCGAAAGTGTTCATATTGTAGAGCTATACAATAAGTCATTAACGATAAACAATGGGCTGTATAACATATCAAGGTAATGTAATACTTTATCGATAAGGCTCATATTGTAGAGCTATACAATAAGTCATTGAAGATAAACAATGTGCTATATAGCATATCAAGGTAATTTATTACTCTATCGAAAGTGTTCATATTGTAGAGCTATACAATAAGTCATTAACGATAAACAATGGGCTGTATAACATATCAAGGTAATGTAATACTTTATCGATAAGGCTCATATTGTAGAGCTATACAATAAGTCATTGAAGATAAACAATGTGCTATATAGCATATCAAGGTAATTTATTACTCTATCGAAAGTGTTCATATTGTAGAGCTATACAATAAGTCATTAACGATAAACAATGGGCTGTATAACATATCAAGGTAATGTAATACTTTATCGATAAGGCTCATATTGTAGAGCTATACAATAAGTCATTGAAGATAAACAATGTGCTATATAGCATATCAAGGTAATTTATTACTCTATCGAAAGTGTTCATATTGTAGAGCTGTACAATAAGTCATTAAAAATAAACAATGGCCTGTATAACATATCAAGGTAATGTAATACTTTATCAAAAATTGCTCATATTGTAGAGCTATATAATAAGTATTTAAAGATAAACAATGGACCATATAACATATCACGGTAATGTAATACTGTATCGATAGTGTTCATATTGTAGAACTATACAATAAGTCATTAAAGATAAACAATGTGACATATCACATATCAAGGTAATGTAATACTTTATCAATAGTGTTCATATTGTAGAGCTATACAATAAGTCATTAAAGATAAACAAATAACTACATTATATAGTTCAGGTAATTAATTTTAGCATTAATATCGTGGAGAAATCCGATACACTGTGTTAACTATAAACACTATTAAAACATTTCCATGCCGATTGAGAAATAACAAGATAAGTCATCTTGCTAAGTCTCATGTATAGGTAAATGGTAAATACAGATCAAGTTTCGTTTGACCCGGGGTCGTATTTATACTTGTAAGGCATAAACGTGATTCTGGAGGGTCTTAGCATTGTCTTTCGAATACTTTTTAGCATAAATAAATCATTGAGGATTAACGTTCACGATTTGTAGTAATAAAGACACTACGGGTGATACACTTTATACTACATTACAATGAAGACTTAGTTGGAGTCAAAGTGCTCATAGCAATGAAATGTTTAAAGAATTTGAAATCTCGAAGGTTTAAAAGTGAATATCGGCATATATTTTTCTTGATAAAGATGATTGGCTTTAAGATCAAGGGAAAAATATTTGAAAAACAACATTACTATTCTGGTGATTGATTATCGATGTTAATATCAGTGCTTTAAAAGATAATATGTACATTCGGTAATGTAATAATAAGTGTGTGTGTATGTAACGTTTATACTTGCAGCTTGTCATAACGACGGGACCGTAGCTATCGGGGTAGAAGTATCGTCTTCACTTTCGGAACTAGAGAAACAACAGTTGACCTTGTTACTAGACATGATGAGTCGTGGAACGAACGTTTCTCTATCTAACGGGGAGACAATAACCCCCTTTCACACAGTTGAAAAGTTCATAAACGCATCTAATGACATAAACCCAACGACTATTCCTACAGATAAATTACTTCAGACAATGATGGACAGCCTGAGTCGGCAACAAACTGGACCTAAAATTGCTGTTCTTATCATAGATGGTCAGTGCATTATGTTCGAAGCTTTTCTAAGTTTATCTTTTTTATTAAGTTCTTTTAAAAAAATAATGCTGTCGTTTAATTGTATGTAGTGCTTGTGATTTGTTTTACTTTATATCACACCTATGTGTAAAAATTTGATTATAAAACGTGTCTTAGTTTTATCTATATATAGTTTCGTGCGATAGATATTGTTTGTTTTTTTAAATCGAGTTAATGTAATATGATCTATAAAGGAATTGCTTGCAATAAATTGTAACTTTATATTATATATATGGTGTTGTTCTCGTCGGAAAGACAGTTGGTTATGAGTGAGTAAAAAATATTTGTGTGTGATTTTTTTATTCTGCAGATTCGTATTGGAAAACCAATTTAAATAACCTAATAACCACTAAGAATCTAGTAGAGAATGCCAAAAAAATAGGTATCACAGTCATCGCATTGATCGTCGGCAGACAGTCCGCCGGCATGGAGAAAGTACTGACTACCATTTTCGGAACAGTGAACAAGTTATCAGTTAATTCGAACAACATGGAATCTATCGTCACTTCTGGTTTTAATCAACTTCTGAATCGTATTTGTACAGGTATATATGCTGCTGAAAGTTATCAATTATTATATCAAACTTTTCTTATTTTTCCTTTTACCAGGTACGTAGTGTATTGTGGTATAAATTTGAAAGTGTAATTTGTTATAACACTAATTTTATAAATATATAATATCAATGCTTTGCAGTCAATCACAAAAAATGAGAATCTCGAACAAATATTAATTTTATTCGATCTTATGAAACGTATAAATTTCCAAATATGGATTAAAAACATGTTCATACTAAACTTAACCATGCACAATAAGCATCGAAAACATATTTTTTCAAGATTGGAATAAATTAAAAAAACGAATAAGGAGAACAATACATATTTGCCTTTGACATGGATTTATGACGTCATCGTATAGTTAATAACCATCCCATATTAGATGAAATAGTCCATGATTCATACTGCAACATCAACTGATAGTTTTGCAAAACAATCTGAGTATATGGTACAAATATACATCATTGAATGAACACATTATATGATAAGATAGTCTTTAAATGATAAATAGTATTGAAAGAAAAAAATATTATTTTCATCTAAGTATTCATGCCTATTTATGTAATGTGCATCTGTAACTCTCAAAGTGCTGGGAAAGGGAGATAATCCTTTTTGGTTGTTTTAAGTGTTGTCTGTACCCGATCCGGTCACCACAGTGCCTACAACTACAACAACACCAATGACCACCACGCCACAACCAAGTAAGTTACTTTGGTTTTACTGGTAAAACATATTTACCTCGATTCTCACTCAGCTAGAGATTATGTTAAGTTCCAGCTCACTATATTGAAATCATTAAACGCACTCATTAATTATCGATAAACGACATGTATGTGAAATTATATGGTTTTGTTAATCAGTTGACATGTACGTTTTTATTGTTTTAGTTTTTCATTCATTCATTCATTGTCATATTGATGTGTTACATTTAAGCGTCGTATTAGAGACATTCGCTTTTAATTGCAAAGATGCAATACATGCTAGCCAACATTAATATACACGTGTTAAGGTAAATAAAAAAATACCCAATTGAAACAGTCGAATCTATCTGCTGACATTTCTCTTATGTTCGTAAGGATGATACCTAGTGTATCTGTATCAATCGGTATTTATATAAATATTTGTATATGAGTAATCTGTTATCACATTTATTACATTGTTGTGTCTGTGTAGTTTTTGCTGTCTTTAAATGAATAAATCACTAATTTTTTTCTCAGTTGTTAATTTCGGGGGAGCTTTAGATGTCTACATTACCCTTGATATATGTCAGGCTGTCTCACAAGGCAACGTGTATTTCGGAACTTACGGTCACTTCACCTCGCTTCTAGCGAACAAACTTATTTTTGGACCTTTAAACGTGTCACTGACAACAAGCTTGACTTATTGCTCCGGAGTAGAGGTTATTGCAAAGTCTCGTGACTACGTTTTCGAAACTCACTATTCTCTTCGATGGGCCCGGGATGAATTTGATGGAATTGTGTTTGCTGCTGATATTGTCAATGACATTATACAAAACTGGGACAATACGTTAGAAAACGTGGGTATCATCTTCATCACCGAGAACATGGTCGAAGATGGACTGAGGAGTGTCATAGACAAGGCAAGGACATTAAACATTACGTTAATGGCCGTCACTTTGACTTCGAGCGGAGGTCCAAGCCAAGCCATGGCAGCGAAGGCAGCTCTCATCGATGGATCGTACGTTCATATGACTTACGACGACCTCTACACTCTGCCCGGCCTTGTAAAGATCATCATGCAAAGAATTCCTAACTTATGTATGTTTATACAATCTCCATGTCTGAGTGACAACTTTTGTTAAACATAATAACAAAATAACAAACAAAAAAACTAAGCAATCACTGCTGCGAACACAGCTTTCATTATTGTTCCTGGAACACAACCGATTTTGTAAAATTAATTACCCGACAATGTTGATAGTAAATAGACATGCTTTACATCAGACCATCGGAATGAATTCGCAGGAACTATACTTTCATTTATATTATATAAAGTCTCGTAAAATAGCATACAGATAAATCAATAAATATAATGTATAATTATTTTTTTGACAAGTATGCTATTTAAATTATCTTCTCCTTTTCCCTTTAACAGAAATGTGCACTTGATATTCAGTATGTGACTTATATACGTATTGTTTTCCTTCCGCAGTTAGAGTACCTATGCAGACAGTGGTTGGTATCACATTAGACGATACGTTATCCAAGCAACAATACGTTAGTGTAGATAATTTTCTTCAAACGCTCAGGAGAATGATCAACTCGGTAATAAAGGACAAGAAGTATACGGAATCCTTTCAGCTCGAGCTCTTTAACAAGCTGGAAGTGTCACGAAGAGCAAATATTCTTCGAAGAATAGAGTATTACACCAGCGTCAGTATCAATAAGCCGGACTTTGTGATCATCATATCCAACAGACCTCCATTAGATATGGACATGATAGCCGCTGCCATTAACAAATCTATGGAAGCCGGTGTTCAGGTTTTCATGGCAGGTAAATACTATTTTTACAAACTTTTAATTGATATAATGATATATTACCTAAAAGCCATTATTAGATGACACTTCAATTAATCAAAGAAATTAACTAACAAGGGAAGTTTTAAACAATCCTGTTTGTAGTCATATGGACGATTCTTTTTCGAGCAGGACGACAAGAAATTGATACAATCTAAGCATGTAATAGTATAAGACTCTTCCTGTATGACTCTTTCATTGAATTTTGCATTAATGTTCTTCAAAGTAAACAACATTTTAATTAATACTAGAAAACAATCTGTTGTAGAAAATGTTGTAAATTTGTCAACATTATAAAGAGGTTTTATTGGCACTTTTTTGTATTCATACACATGCTTCAGAACACTTTCGACATGGTCCTTCACTCTTTTGAACACTGGCGAGTCAAAAATGCACGAACTGGCCATGTTCTGTCTTTGCGTACTGCAGAGTTATCTTCTCTTGTGAGCAGATATTGATTGTTACGTCACTGGTTTTTGTGAGAAAATTACGTCGTTTTACCAAAAATGTATGACGTTACTCTCACAAACAAATGACGTACCAATCAATACCTGCTCACAAGACGGAAAGACGGAATATTTCAGTATAAACACTTTGTTTGGCTTATATTATGTTTTAGATGAGTGCTATCTTGTTTCTTGTTTTAGTTACTATCTGGCCAAATGTAATCGATGGTATAAGAAGCGACAATGATATTTGAAATGGCTATATATCACCACCTTAAACATTAAACACGTGCATTTATATTTACGGGGAGTGTGCATATACTTACTGCATGGAGTGATACTATAGAAAATCATACACCAGTGACTAATAAATAAATTCCGTATGATACATGTAATCAAAAGTATGCCAAAATACTTTAAAACTCATCTCTCAAATCTCTTTTTATTTAATGATTTATTTGTATAGTATGTGTCTAGAATAAAAGGCATGCAAGGCTGTCCTTCTTTTTAAACATTCTTCGGGAACTTGTATACATCTCATTAACTTGTATACATCTCATTTGCATGTATATTTTCACATAACAATTGATTAAAAGCAAAATCGTTATTAGAATTTACGTACATACTGCTTTCTAGGTTTCACAGGAGCTTTAAGTCTACCAGTGGAGACCATCGCGTCAGCAATAGGTTGGTATTTGTGTAATATATATGATTATAGAGTAATTCATTAAATGGGTTTTTTAAACGATATACTTTGATTTCATGGATTAAGCTTATCTTCTGTGTGTGTAATTTGAGGTCATCACGATTTTTAAAATTCACTAGTGTTTATGATTTTATCATTCTAATTTTTATTTTATTTTTGAAACCGTACATTTTAAACGCAGAGTAAGCTTTTACTCTAGGCTCTGTTCGTTTAATTATGTTAACATTAAAAAATACGCTAAAATATATTAATTACAATTTATATTTAAGAAAAAAAACAGGCATTTTAAATTTTCAAATTCATAGATCAGGAAAACAAGTCCATTGCCATACTAATCGACTCTTCAGAGAGTGTTTCGAAAGAGGATTTCTTCAGCGCGCATCAAACGTCTGCTTCCCTCATGTGGAGATTGAATAAAACAGTTAATTTAGAGGTTAGTACGTTTGATGTTAACGTCCATGTGGAGATCCCAATGACAGAATATTCTCTCAATACAAGAATCGCATTTGTTAGAAAGCTGTACAGGATGTCCCATCTAATGGTGAAGCCACCCTTGTACAAAGTTATAGAAACAATGGCTGAGATGTCGGAAACCTACGACAGCGTTGACGACGATGTCCGAATGGTCGGTGTCATGTTCATTGCAGAACGACCGAGATATATCAACCTACTGAATCTATTCAAGAACTACATCTACGCTAACCGCTCGACACTTATAGTTGTTGACGTTTCCGTCGGTGGAAATATAGAAGGGCTTGAGCAGGATCCCTCATTGTATCCAATGCATATTATTCGCACAAGCAATTTGGAATTTGATGGTCTCCCGGGACAAATTTTGGAATTCATGAACTCGACTGGTGAGTACTATACCCGGCACAAATTATTTGAAAATTCCATTTTTAACACCAGGCAGGACAACCTTAATACTTTTTAGTCTTGTTCCGCTTTTGTTTTTGTTGTGTTTCTGCTCATCTATGTTTCAAATGGTAATTTACATTTCACAGTGATTACTAAAAAACAGTAAACATATATCAAAATAACATGAATTGAACAGAACTTAAATGGCATTAGTTACAATTATTCAATAGACATTGAATGTAAAAATATGTTTTACTTTCTATTTTAAATTATTTTTTGTATGTTTTAGGATATTCAAAGTACCACACTGTTTTTACCGCTGGTCAGATAAGTTTTTTAGAAGGAAAATTTAACCTGTTCGAAAATATGCTTCAAGCGTTTCGGAACGCCGCAGATGATTACAACTTCAGTGCAGATTTTGGCCTGATAACTATGGAAAGCAATGCATTGTTTGATTACTTCAATATAAACATGGATGAGATAATCTACATTCTTCGCAAATTAATGAAAGTCAGTGATAGGGGGTCAGAAACAGCCCTTGATTATTCTTCCGGGTTGTTAAAAGAACACAGAATTGCTCAGACACAACAGAAACAGGGTGTCAGCGTTATAATAACTGACGAAAACCCGAAATTCCCTAACGTGGTTGCAAGCAAAGCTGCAAAAGCACGGGACGAAGACGGCAATCATGTGTTAGTGATTGGAGTCGGAGACAATCTGAACAAATCTAGTCTGCTGTCCTTGAATAATGTCGGCGATGATGACTTGTGTATCGCTTCGGACGGCGTGGACCTCCGAAATAGCTGTGTAGGGTGGTTGGTCGACAGATTAAGAACATGTAAGTGCTGTACCATTTAAAAGTGTGTTCATGAACATGTTCAGGGTCCCCTTTCACTGTCTTTAAACGCAATGTAGTAGCTTATTCATTACACATGGATAATGTGTACATGAATCAATGCATAGAAAATAACCAGATACTTTGTTTTCATCAGATAAAGCTCCAAGGGCGATCACTCTATTATAAAACAATAATACAAAACGCTATATATTAAGCTTTATTCAGTAATGGCCAACATACACATGTTTTGTAGGATATAATGGGGTTTATTTTTTTGTTTTATATTTCAGTGCCAACTATTACTCCTATCCAGTCGTGTAAGTATCACACTTTAAATGTCATTATGGTGTCTTATTATGGATAAAACTACAACAGACATGTGTAATGTGCACTCTGTCCTTATGCCAACATGGTCGGAGATGTATGTCACTATATGTAGGTGTGACTAAGTGTCAATTGTCCGTAGTACAATGCGAGGCGACCTGTTAACCGAAAACTAATTGGGTTATATATGTGACAGAGTAGTTCTGCAAAATATATAAGTACTTATAATTTAATGATGAACTTATTTACCGTATTGCATTTGGTCGTATTTTGTTTTGTTTCTAGCGACTACGTCTTCAACAGCTACAATGATGACGACAACACCGACTCCCTTCGTACCATGTACGTACACTTTATATACCACCTCGTCAGTATAACCAAACGGTTTGGAAAGATTTTATCTAAACGCATACTTGAAAATTACTTATGACACAATAAAGGCAATTTCTTATTTTAATTCGTGTTCATAGCACAGCAAACGTTCCACGTGAATAAATTTCCATTGTATACTTACTGTATGATGACACTGTTACGCCGTTGTTCTTACAGCTAATTCACCAACCTTAACTACTAATACTCCCCTTCCACTCTGTAAGTATAATAACCGCTACCGAGCAGCTTATTGTAGGGTTAAAGATGAGCATACAAACTCTTTGCGCTATTAACAGATGATGAATACATTTGTTCTATTGCACTAAATGATGACTTTGAACTACTTTAAAATAACTTATTATAAATCGTTTTCTTTATCGACTAAAATCTTTGGTACAAACTGTCTAGACTGTTTTCATGATTGCGAAGCAAAATACAGAATTTTAATGATTAACTTTGGCACAAGCGACGAAGAAAGCTATCCTTTTGACGCTATATTCCATGTAAACGTAACTTATAATAAATAGATTATATGAATATTACAGCATCATCTAGCACTACCATTAAACCAACAAATTCGAGTAAGTATGACGTTTGGAATTATCGGTATCAGATGTGGTAATATAATTATTTTACAATCGTATCAAACACATTTTTCTTTTTTTGTTGTTCAAATTACACCATAATTCTTTATCAAGAGTCAATCTCACCATGCAAAAATAATTCACTTCGTATGAAGTAATAATCTGTTATAATGACTTTTGCAAAGAAACTTTTCCGCTGCTATTGTATCAGTAAACGACCTAGTTAAAATTTTCTTCATCGTCGTTATTAAAGCAACAAAAAAACCAACACAATCAACAACAACAACAACAACAACAACAACAACGTTTAGAACTACTTCTACACCTGGTCCACCATGTAAGTATTCTAGTTTTGACATTTGGACAACCTTGACAAACCTGCTTGACAATATGACAATATACCGGTTTAAATTATTAACAAACAAAGGACAAACATTACTATTTTTATCTCATTAAAATAAAAGCACGATATTTCGATATTAATATGACAGAAGTATATCAACTTTCCAATTTCTGAAATCCCATTATATAAGCGCTGAAAAGTTATAGTTAAGGTATTCAGATTATTAAGTTCAGTTTAGTCACAGTTCAATGTATCATTAAATAAATCATTTTCATATAAAAACGTCAATCAATTATCATTGTTGCTGTTATAGCAACAACATCAGCAGTATCAGCATCAACAGTATATAATACCACCATACCTTCTATAATAACTACACCTGCAGCAACAGCAACAAAGAAAGCAAAAACAACAACAACATCAACAACACCACCACCATCACCACCAACATCATCATCATCATCATCATCATCATCATCATCATCATCATCATCATCATCATCATCATCATCATCATCAACAACAACACCAACAACATCATCATCAACAACAACACAAACAACATCATCATCAACAACAACACCAACAACGTCATCAACAACACCAACAACACCATCAACAACACCAACAACAACGACAGCAGCAACATCATCATCAACAACAACAACACCAACAACACCAACAACAACATCATCATCATCATCAACAACAACAGCAATAACACCATCTTCAACAACAACACCACAAACAACAACACCACCAACAGCATCATCAACAACAACAACAACATCAACACCAACAACAACACCTACAACAACACCAACAATAACATCATCATCATCATCAACAACAACAGCAATAACATCATCAACAACAACACCAACAATAACAACAGCAGCAACAGCATCATCAACAACAACACAGCCACCAACAACAGCATCAACAGCAACAAAACCGCCACAACCAACATCATTATCAACAACAACACAACCACAAACAACAATAGCAACATCATCAATAACACCAAAAATACCACCACCAACAACAACAACAACAACAACAACATCAACAACAACAACAGTAACAACAACAAAAGCAAAATCAACAACATCATCAACAACAACAGCAACAACATCAGCGTCAACTCAAAGTACTGTCAAACCTATTCATTATGGTAAGTATGTGTCGTCTAAAACGCAAGCTTACCTTGTAAATGTTTGAATACAATTTGTGCTTTGCCTTTTTTATCTTACCTGCTTAGCTACACACAAATTGCAAATATCCAGAACATTGAAAAGGAACTTAATTTACTTAATTATCAATAATTAAACTTATAAACAAAAACGGTGTACAAGCATGTCTATTTGCAAATGTATCTATAGTAATAATTAATGAATAAAATTACATAAGAACAGCATTCTCTGTACCTCAAGTCGTTGTTTAAGATTTTTACTTTGAAGCATTGGACTGTCGTTCCATATTTTTTTATTTTCAAATGGAGAGGATATACAAAATCTATTTTCTATTTATCACGAGAGGCCCAACACAAATATGAGCTCTAGTGGAGTATTATCAAACACAGTAGTTCTCCAAAACACCTGCAAAATGCACTTGTACCACCAGTCTTTTGCACTCTTAACACTTATCATACAAATTTCTCAAAACAACGTTTGATTGGTTCTTTTTCTTTTTCTCCTACTTCCTTGCAAAATTGAATACGCGATAAAAAGTTGCCGTTTTCAATACAGTCACGTTACAAGAATGGGGACTTCTTTAAACAAACTTGCTACATGTATGAAGCTTTTGCATAAATGCTTAAAATGTTTAAGATTTCCAGTTGTTTTACTCTAGCCAGATGCGATCCTCCTGGTTAGTTTTTACATTATTTAAAAAATCTGCTATGCTCATTGCTGCCTACGTAAGTTAATTAGACCGATGTTATATGCTACAAAATCAGCATCTTTTGCTTACCAGCAATGCGCGGCTACTGAATATGCGTACTTCTTCGTTATAATATAACGTAACTTCGCCTTTACACCACTTTAAAGCCAATTAAGCGTCACAGCACAACGCTACCACGCTGAACATTTTTGTTTATGAGCGCTAGATTTATCTACTACTTTATAAATACATTTACACTGTATTAAAAATAAAGCAATGCAATTAAGTACATTTGATTATTTGAGCTGTTCTCATTGTTTTGTAACAATTCACATCTGCAATTAGCCTCAACTCTATTTGAAATTTCATGTATTCTTGCAAGTACGGGGAAGTAATGATTTCATGGATTGTATCTTTAGCTATCTATGGTTAACTTCAATTGAATGGATTGTTGCATGATATGACGTGCCCTCTTTTGCAGTTGAGAATTCACTTTGTGTATTGGGACGGTAAAGATATGTACACTTACAAAGTCAACATATACTCATTTATGAATTGCGTTGCTATCCTGTTTGTCTGAAGTACAAATGACGAAAAACCAAGTCCTAACAAAGCAAAAATATCAATAGTTTTGTTTCTGAGTAGCAGTATACCATGAATCATACGTTTACAACCAACACATGTCATTATAGATATTATGATTAATGAAAATTGCATTTATTTTACAGGAATGTTTCTATAATCAGATTTCCATTATAAAGGATGATATAAGCTAATAAAATCCTAATAATTTGGTCAATTTTGATAGTTTAATAGCAAACAATAGATAATACTTATTGTATAGAGATACATGGCGAATTATTCATACTTTGTAGTGGACCCGGTTTAAAGTTAACAGGAAGACATCACATTCTTTTAGTAATGCAATTGAACATTATTTTTTAATTCAGCGTCTTCAAGTCATATTATTTGATTTCAGTAACAAACACTTATTCGTGTTAAAATATGTAATAGGCATAGAAACAGTGATAGTGATTATGAATAGGAAATTGTATTAGAAAGATAAAATGTTAATCAAGATATTCTTGAACATCACTTATCTCCATTCGGCTTTCTCTCAATATATTAGTGTGTATGCAATACAAGAGTAATACCATGTTCTTTTGGTTGGATTGGACAGTGTGCAATGCTGAGGCACACGTTGGCATTGGAGTGGCGTCGAGTCTACAGGTACGTGATGTCTTTGAAATCCTCCAAGACAACATTACTCAGTCAACTGGAGATGACGTCAAGTTCAAGTTCCTGTTCTTCATTAATTCACAACTGTTTCAAGCCAACACCGAGATAAAAAGTTCCGATCCAAAAGCTTTTCGGAGCGTGGTAGAGGAAGTGAACGCAAGGCTGACAAATCTGTACACAGGTCAGTCCAATCTGGTCGCTCTGATCTTTACCGACGCAAAATCTGCAGCCGATGGTATATCGTCCGATGTCTTCAACACCCTCAGTACGTATATTGAGTTTGTGGTATTTGGAATAGGACAGTTTAGTGATTCAGCCACAGCTGACCTGAAAAAACTTACCAGAAACAAGCCACATAGTTTGATCATGGTCGATGACGTAGGTGGCATAGACTACGACAACAATTTAGCTTTTCTGGGTAAAGCTGTCTGTGATGGTAAGTTCAAAGTATAATCTGTGTGAGCTAAAGGTTTTACCGTACGTTATAACAAATGTATTCTTGATATTGTAATTGATTCGTTTACATCTTTTATAACAAATGGTATATTTTTTTATAAATAATGTTCACCTCTCTTAACATGACTAATGAAGCAAATATACCTTTCAAAACTATATGTTGTGCATGTTTATTTGAACATTTATATTTTTATAACGAGAAAATTGTTCTATTGACAACGGGTCCGAATTTTGTACTATGAAGGTGGCGAAACGGCAAATTTTCTTATTTTACATTAATACACACACAAGTTTGTTAGTTTCCCCTTTTTTGTATGTTTTCACAGCTATAACGAAGACTCCTGTTATAGACATTCGTGAGTATTTTAAGCAGGTTTAATCAAAATACCTTTTTCGGTATAGTTATACAACTTCAAGTGAATAACTGAAGGTTAAAGCATGTTTGGAAAATAGTGCAATAATCTAATTTATAATTAGGAATATCAAAGTGCATTTGATGCTATATTAGATTGTGTATATATATTTATGAATACCCGGAAAAATAAAAACAAAACAAAAATTGAACACTAAAATAAGGATATTCTTACTAGTGTCATTATTTTCATACACTTATACATTTTTCGACCAGGTACCAACATTACTAAGATTTGTTCTAGCCGACCACTTGATAGCAGCTTTGGTTTGGACGCCGAAAACGTGTGGTATCCATTCGATTGTACAAAGTTCATTAACTGTAAACGCATGGGTTCCAGTGTGAGCGCTGATGTGCTTTCGTGTCCAATGAACATAAGGTTTAATACGGACACACACAAGTGTGACATCAGTCAGGATGTTATATGCAAGGAAGTCACAGGTAAGCAAACTTCCTTAAAAAAAGAGGACCACTGCATTAGTTTCAGTCAAAAGAGTTCCATCTGACTTAGCTTCTCTTGTCAGGTATTAAGCGTACCTCCCATTCTGGTATAATTCTAGATGACAACATTGGTAAAATTTAAATTTGGCCATAGATACATCTGTAGCTCCCATGTTCCATCGATGTTTCTTTCTGATTGTTTTGGATTTTTTTTTTCCTTTTTTTTCTTGGCTATATTTTGTTTTCAAATACTTTAATGATAATTCACGCGTCTGCCCCTCTGTTACTTACTTATTGTTGTTTCGACAATTTAAATTGCTAACGTTTTGGCCCCTAACATCATCAATGAGTCCTAGAAAAGCGAAACAGTTGTATGATGCAGTGTAATTCATTTTTGGCATACTTTATATAGATGTATTACAAAATTTTAAAGATGCATCACATGTTTGTGTGTGTTAAGTTCATCTTTCGAACAGTTTGTAAAACATATGAAGAATGTCCTTATATGTCATTCTTCTGTAGACAAGGACCTAAAAATGTATTTTATCAAAGTGACAATAGTAATAATTGATCACTGTAATGTGGTAAACGCTGTGTTATATACTATAATATACAGATGAGGTATAAATAAAATAAAAATTTGATAATATATCAGCATTGTGCTAAATTTTCTGTACTTTCTTTTATAGCTACTGAATATGCTCTTGAAATCGGGAAAATCGTTGATCCTCCTCCTCCCAAAGGTAAGGTTTTATAATAGTTAACATATAATCGCTTTGTATCGTACATATTTTTGTCGGATGATTAACAGTTGCACTGACATGTGAATGTCTGGTAGGTTATCAAGCTAAATTATTGTTAAATAATCCATACATTAAACTCCACCCAATACATATCTATCTATCATATGCTTACCAATGCTGCCTTGCATTTTGTTTTGTCTAAATAAAAAGAAACTCCATGTGTGTTTTCTGTCGTCTTTCAGTGGTAAATTTAACAGAGGAATGCATCAACAACTGTTTCAAAGCAGGGGATTTGACTGATAATTACGGTTATACTTACCATCCAACTGATTGTTCCAAGTTCATCGTGTGTCGTCGCCAGGGCTACATCAATCCGGGTTACACCTTCATCACTCAGGTAGAGAATTGTCCCGGTGGTCTATTCTGGAACGCTCAGCGGAAAATGTGTGTCCCTACTCACCTTGCCGAATGTGCAGCCGGTAATCTATGTTACATTTTCTGTTTTTTTTAATGTCTTACTATATATAAACCGGGAAAAGTTCGCTGTAGTTTATTTTTCGCACGTTTCGCCTTCCGCAATTAAAGCATATTTATCATATCATAACAGCGAGTATTTATACACAATTTACCCTATATAGTAATCATATGCGAAAGGCGAATATTTCACTGGCCAAATACAGATTTTACTAGGGAAGGGCGAATTTTTGAAGAAGCAAACACTTTCCAGTATACAGTATTGTTATTTAGGGCATATTTTAGAATCCTTTTTCATTACTTGCATGCTTATGCTGGTAAAGAATAAAACTTTTTAGTTCTTCGAAACACCATATATGTAATTCCAGAGTCAGTTGACCAAATGTGTTATGTCATAGTTTTTCGTAATGAAAACAAGCAAAAATCGTTATTTGTTTAACGCTTCATCTTTTGAAGTACAGCCTGCACCTATATCACTTACTGGAAAATCGCGAGAGAATTAAAATTAGATGAATGGGAACTTGACAATATTATGTATTAGCGATATTGATCAAAAGTTGGTTCAAAGAATTAAATTACATAAAATAAGCAGTCAACTCTCGCTAGTTATGACGACACCTCTAGATGAACATATTTTTTTTTTTATAAATCAGTTAAACAAAATCTATAAATCTAATGGACCCTTATAAAATACAATCCGATGCCATAAGCGCAACAGTTAGTAATAAGTATCAAAATTCAGTTAGAGTACTGATAAATGAATAATAACAGATGTCGAAAGCATATATTATACCCAACAGTAAATACATGAATGACATAAAATAGTGTTGTAATATGATGTAAAATCAAACACGCAAACAAAAATGATACCAAATTCTACTTTATTTGAGATTTCAGATTAAATAAACATATTTGTGAAGACAAAAACGACAAAAAACTCGGGATATCCGATCTAATATACACATTTTCTTTGTATATACTATTATAAAAGAACAATATGAAAATCGAGACGCTGTTTTACTGGTAATTAACAAAAACCTACATTGATGATATCCAATTGAGAACAGAATTGTTTTTTTTTATTTAAATCAAAGCGAACATGAAACATACAGATACAAAAAAGTTCCGACTAAATTTGAGATATTCAATTAAAAAGACACATTTTCTTATTATAAAAACATAATAAAAGCGAACAAGAGACAAAAATAAAAATTCGAAATATCTAACTTTGCACTTGGTGTTTTACTACAATTTAGGAAAGATTATAATGATTATTATCAGGATATGGAACTTTAAATAACAAAAATGTTTATATTTACAGTATCACCTGTTTATCATTACAGATATGTGTAAAACTAAATCGCTGTTTGCTTTTTGGAAAGTCAACTGTAGACATTTCTATAAGTGCGACAATGGACAATCCCGGCTTGAACACTGTGCCTATGGAAGGAAGTTTCAGTCCGATGGTAACTGTGTTGACGATCCTCTACAGACCTGTACAGTTCCTATAGGTAGTATACGTATCATTTTAAATAAGCTTCTATATTAAACATGTATTGCCCTTGTTTTTGGATGACACGATTGTTTATACCCTGAAAATGAGCGCGTTTCAATAGGACACAAATCATATTTTCCCACTGGAAGGGCAAGACATAATTTATTAAACCAAAATAGAACAATACGACAAGTGTGCAGATGATTGGGCTTCGGAGCCAATGTTGTTGTCTGCTTCAGTCAATGATGGACACAGATGTGGTGACCTTTGCAATTTATAAGAGTGGTTCAGAATAAGGGGAATAATATAACCGCGAAAACCGAAGCAGGTGAGGTTAACGTTATATATATTTCCTGGTCGTGTAATCCAAATAATCCAGTCATACATGTTGCTATATATGATTTCAATAATAAAGGTTATTTAAGAAATAATCAACATATGTGCGTGCATTATGGTAGAATATATAACGAGGGTGAGAAAATGTTGGTAAAAAAAATAATCGAAGGCCGCTTTGGCCTGAGTTAATTATTTTTCCAACATTTTCAAATCCCGAACTAATCATTTACCATTTTGTCTTCAGACCTGTACATTTCAAATGTCAATAATTAATAAACCATTTCACTGTACGGACCCATATACTTTAGGTATATAGATCCGTGTAATCTTTTGAATGGCAGGCCTGTCAAATATTTTGATCCCGCCTGACAGTTATGCTATTTTTGTTAATGCATGTTAAAATACGGGGAGGTTGTTGGAACAGCATGCGTGCGCACTATTTCACGTGCATTGGTAATTGGCACGCGCATGGTATATCGCTCAATAATGCACTCTTTTTAACCAATGAAAACCGTCGTTACATCACAGACGTGGTAGAATTGTTGTTATTATTTTGCTGCATTCGTAAGATTATTTTCAAATCATGGTAATAATTCACAGTACAACCGGAACTATGTTACAACCTCCCCTGGACAGACAGTACCATGTACATTGACCGTACGATCGGCGATAATGGCAAGCTGACGCAGTGTCCTCTTGGCAAAATGTACGACCACCAGACATGTACATGCAGCAGGAATTACGTCACTGGAAGTAAGTGTTATGATTCATCTTTGAGAATACTGTTTGTTGATTAAAACTCGTTATTATTTTTGTTTTGAATTGCTGGATAAGACAATATTTCTTTTACTTTAGAAAACTACAGTTTGGTTTTCCTTACGAACCCTGAACGTATCTGCATTTAATTTTGCGTTTCAGCCTGTCAGCCATTGATATCAGAAACAATGGACAACGCCAGGACAATTAACAACGTATGGATGCGTGGTGGAGCAGCCACATTCATGGGACTGGGGTTGTTGATCATTCCACAACCATCTCCTCTTACCGACACCTTCCTCGTACACATCGTAATTAGTGTGTCCAAGTCTAACCAGGATATGGTTATGTTGAGTAGTTGCCAAGCACCAGATACATCTGCATTCAGTCTCCGGTTGACCAATGACAGACTAACCGTTAAAGTTAGGATGGCGAGTGGTACTGTGACTTTGACATCTAAGATACAGGTCAGTATTAAACCATCATTTTACTGCATTCGATCAAATATCCCTTTTTCTATTTATAGATTTGTATCCAAAATTGGAAAAGAGATGTCGGTAGCCTTTTTGTTGCAGTGACGACTGAAAATTGTCATTATAGTGTAAATTATAACTCAAACGATGGATGTTTTATAATGATTCATTTTTTTAAATTAAAGAATTAGCTGCACCGTGACAAGGATAAATTTACACATGACAGAAATTAAATAACAAACATACTGTTATGTCGCTAAGGTTATTAAGTCGACGCAAACATATTTATATAGTTATGAATTACCTGGTGTTAATCCACTGCGTATAAAGTGTACTTGTTAGACTGTGTAATGAATCAATATTGATTTCACAGTTCGATGTTTGGAATCATGTGTACCTTGCCTACAACGGCCAGAGGATTGTATTGAAAACAGACTCCGCCACTGATCAAGGTAATAATGATGAGTCGGTCAGCATGCTCATTGGACAGCTTAACCTGTCCAGCATGTTATTAGTTTATACTTGTTAATTGATATTAGCAATGATATTCTATCCATTTGGCATCATGATATAGTGGCTCGTCAACGAGAGTTGGTTAATTGACATTTGTAGCCAGCTTCAAAAAGTTTGTTTGGAAACTACAAAAAGGACCTTTTTATTCCTTTACACTAATTTTAACATATCGTTAAAACCACTATTAATACACTATTTCTTTTGGTCGGGGAAACAAGTCCATGAATTATGACTTCAAATGGAAAATGCTGGTGCCAAGTATTGTTACGTGATTTAACAATTTAAGATATGAATAATTAAATCACGTTCAGAATTTAACTTCCTAGTCGACAACTGAATATGTTTACCAAACCAAACAGGTTTATCCATTGGGTCGTGAGTAAAGAAACCGGTGGTGGTGATGGAAGGAATCAATTAAATTTGTTTCGGTTGTATTTAGACCTCCAAACGGGTCATTTGCACTCTTTGCTTATAAAGGAAATATTTGTTTTCAAAAGATCGTAAAAAATGTGCAAAGTTTGAACCTGTACAGAAGGAAAAGAAATAAGAAAAACTTAGCGTGTATCTATAAATTGGTGTTTTCAGACGGTTTTCGCTTCACAAAAGTGAATCCATTTAGCAATGACATTCTCGCACCTGCAAACGATTACCGCCGCAGTAAAAACAGAAATAAATGTTAATCACTATCCCGAGCAATATCTATCCGATTCAGTTTTAATGGACATATTACTAAATAAGTGTACGTGACATTTAAGATTTACATAGTGGAAATGAAATGGCATCTGAGACAAAAATATGTTTCAAACATGTGAATCAATAACAAACCATTTTTCTTACAGTCAGTGCCAGCGGCCCAATACAAGGCTGTCAGGACGCTTACGTCCTTGGCTCCGAAAACGGGTTCTATGGAGATATAGATGAGGTAGGTAGGGCTTCCACAGTAGCCAAATACCCCTGTGTAATATTAGTATCAGTAATGAAAAAACTCAATGCAGTATTGTGTACAAGTATATAAATTCTTTGTATTTTTTTTCGAAATGAATTTACACGATCACGTTGTAGGTATACAATGTAAGTAATAGTATATCTGTATCACACAGTTATATCAACGTCTGGCTACTCCACAATGTCGGCGACGTAACGATAATTTGCATTGGTTAATAATTATAAAGTATTGATCACTTGCACACTCGGGTACATGTACTTCTTAATAAGGGTTCTGAATGAAAACCTTTCATTTGCTCATGTTTTCCTCTAGTTTGAGCTCAAATTAAGCTTTTGTTGTCAGTTCGGTTTTTTCTTGCTACTTTTAGTTCGTTTGATGTTTTATTGCTAGATCACGTTGTCATTTAGGCACTATCGGAGACTCAGAGGTACATTCAATTAAATTTTAATGTAAAGAAAAAACGTTTTAACAACATGTGTACGTAAATTATGCTGGAATATTGAACTCGATATTCGTAAAATTAGGTTGGTTAAGGATTAAAACAAATAAACATAATGAATATGTTTTTCTTTCTTTTCAGTTTAATGTCTACGACTGTATTCCAGGCAAAAACATCTCCATATTCAATTAGCTAGCATCATGTTTACTACGGTACTGTGTTCGCAGCTACAAGAAAGAGTAATGTGACCATTTGTGATTTGTGTATTTTGATAACTGACATACAAATGGGTTGTTAGCACCGGGAAATCTGTATAAATTGCGATTACTCATGTCGTTGTGAGTACCACAAGTGCCATATTATAATTTATATATATTTGATAAGTCAATAACAAACTATTAAACATGTTTTCAGGTTATATTGCCTTCGGTAATATAGTGAGTGGCTATCTTGTCGCCCTCAGAGGTGGGTTTGTTAATAACAACTTTTTAGGAAGTTGTTCGGGAAGGTATTACGTTTTCTTATTTCTAATGAAGTGACGTACGTATATCACAGTTTCATTCTCTTTCTATATATATGTGGTTTATGTTTTGATTCATGTAAACAAAAAAGAGTTCAGTATGTGTTATCTCATAGTTTGTTTGTAACATATGTGAGGAAGTTACTTACATTCACGGTATGAAATCCTATTAATATTTAACGTCAGAATTGTTCATGTTCTGTATTTATTATACCAATAATATATCAATCACATCACTTAAATTTAAAATAAAAATAAAAATGTACTACATCAAAAGTGTTGTTGAAGAGATATTTGCATGTAAGTTTTAACAACAACAAACGTAAATCATAACAACGGATTTACTCATTGCTAAATTGATTTTAATAAATACTTATTTCGTTCACAATTTCTCATTAGTTACTTTAATATGAAGAAAATGTTTCAGTTTCATGTATTGTTTAACAAAGTTCTCAGTAATTGGAACTTGTAGCTACCGTCGTATAAGAGTTTACCTTTGTATGATACATAATATAAAATGAACAAACAGGGACATCTACCGATGTAAATATAAATCGCCTCACTGTTGCACCGACAATTAGTTATAAATTATAGTTTCATAATAGTATTTACAAGAGCAAAACACTGTGTCTATTTTACCCTATAGTATTTGTGGTATGTGTAAGTAACGGCGTCTCTCCCACGTCCAAGGTCAGCTCCATTTAACTCTGGTTGAGAGTTGCCAAAATGGGTTGGCACAACCGGAACTAAAACGAAGGGAAAATAAATTTTAGCTTTGTCTTCTGTCGTTTATGATCAAATATCACGATCAATGATCAACTTCTTTGTCAAAGCAAACACTTATTCCGGAATCATTACTTCTTTATCATATAAAATCAAGATAACCTTGACGAGAACAGATCTCACAACATCGTTTTGTCAATATGACGAACATTTACGTCAGTAATTTCAGCTTCTTACACAGTAAGTCGTAAATATCAAGAGCTACCAATAAACCCTTCAATAAAGTCCTTCTATTATATGTCTGCCTGAAAAAATACTTAAATATAGATTAAGTTAAAAACCAAAGCCTGAATAAGAGTTTTGATCCAAAAATGTACAGAATGTCTATATGCCGCAAAATGAAATAATATTTTACTTAAATAATAACATCTTACGTCGCCATTATAATCATTATAATCTTTACCTTTCATTACTGACGAGGTAAATGACAACAACATTTCCTCTAGCGTTTTAGTCTGACAAGGTACATTTCACCAACATCACACTTCGGTCTGACTAGGTAAAAACCCCACCGAAATAGCATCTACCTATTCAGACTGGTTTGGTAAATATCACCAACATATAACCAACAAATTCAGACTGACAAGCTTAATGACATCAACATAATACCTACCTTTTTAGCCTGATTGTTTATATCCCAAGTATAAGCTTAATTATTTCAAAACCAACAATATTTCAGACTGAGGAGGTAAATGTCACAGACATATCTTATAGTAATAGGATAAATAAACTTCACCATTTAGGATTATGTCATACTTACTTCGTCAATATCGCCAACATAACCTCGACCATTACACATTCCTAACCGTAAGCTGCCAGGACTAACTGTAAGTGGCCCTGAACAAAACGAAACGCAATATATCAATGTGGATCATCTTAATGAAATCAATAACAAATTGTACAAGCTTATCAATTAGTACTCGCCTTTCACCACGGTTCGATTCCCAAATCGGTCGTGAAAGGGTGACCACGTTGGTTTTCCCCGGGTACTCCGGTTTCCTCCCACTTTAAGATCCCCTGCGCGCTAACATCTGAGCCGACCAAATGTGATTTATTTATCTTCTAATGACTTGTTGCGTAATTGTTGTAAAATAAATTAAGTTAATATCTTATTCAATAATATAAACGAAAAATAAATAAAACAAAAAGAGACTGTTAAATGAAAAGAGATAAAACTGTAAAATGTGTTCATTGAGTGCTTAAATTAATTTCTTTAAAACAAATTAACATTACTAAAATACAAATAGTCGGGAGACACCTCAGAATTACATAATATTAAAACGTACAATTCCTTTTTAAAACAAAATTCTTAGCATATCTGTCATGTTCTGTTTTTAAATAAACAATGTACGACAGAGATTAAGCTTATATATTATATATATATATATTACAATCGGTGTTAATTCAACTGAAGGGTATAGAATATATTTGTTTTAAAAGTTATAAATGAGGGCAGATTAACGTGATACTGACATTGTTGTAGACGTATATACAATAATGCTAAATAACAACATTGGTCACATTCAAATCAATAGTTCCCTTCCTTTTATTGTGCCATTCAAACCAATGTTAAAATTCAATAAAAAGGTTTTGAGTACCGATTGACATTAACAATTTGTTGACCTGATTAATGCAAAATACTTAAATGTGTTAACTGTTTAAACAGACTGCTTATTTGAAGGATTTTAACTAAGCTGCATTCAGCACATTAGCTACGGCATTAAATGATGTAAATTCAAGGGTCAAATTTAGGGCAAAAATAGGGCAAATTTTAGATTTGATTCAATAAAGTAGAAATAACCGGTCACGTGACATAAAATAAAAGTGCATATGACCCTTAACGGTCACCATAATGCCTAAGGTAATTTGAACATTTTATCAGCGTTATATCACATTTAAAAAGGCAAAATTAAGACATAAAAGTAAATGTCGTGTATTTTGAAAGGGTCAGTTTTGAAATACAACAGTAATAGTAACGCGCAACTTGGAAATTTCGTATTGCTTACTGAGAGAGACACTGCAAAGTAACTCTAAAGTAATAGACTAAATGCTAGCTTCAAGCAGACAAAACTAATAATACTCTTTCTATATGCACGTAATGACGAAAATCTATTTCGCCATATTTGTTTGCACCAACCAACAGAGTGATTGCTCTAAGTGTTCAGTGTCGAGAAATAGACTTTGGTTAGTCCAAAGACTAACGGGGAAAGAATCCATACTGTTTCCTGTCTAAGCGTGTATGATATCTACCTTTACACCTGGCACACTTCCAATGACATAAATGAGCTTTATAAACAAGAACGTCAAATATTTACCTGTCAGAGGCCTCGATACAACCTTGTTGTTGACATTACCGGTAAGTGTGACGCCATCGTAAGAATACGTCACTGTGTTCCAGGACTGTGGCTAAAAGATATTTATACATGTATCAATTTATATAAGGGTTTATATAATAATTATAAAAGTAGAAGAAATGGATGTATCTAAAACAAAAAGCGTTTCTAAAAATGTATTAAAGAGGACGACAAATTCAACATGAGAATTGTAATGGCCGTCTTTTCTGGATAATGATTCTAAGGAAATGTCGACTTTTGATTTAATGCTTTTAGGACTCAAACAACTAAATCAGAAAGCATTCCATACGATTGTAATCCCTCCCTAATTTGAATACAATGCCACTGAATATCTTAAATGTATAAATATTTGCAGATGCTTTATTGAATGAAATCTACATGTATTTACCCTGGAAAAAGTAAAGTTTTAGTAGATTTCAATAAGTTATGACGGATTTGGCTTGTTAACTTCTGGTTGGCAACAAACGAAGCCTATAGCGCACTTTTAAGCCATTCAACCTTATACAAATGTCTTTTGACCCTTTTGTTACCTAAGATTCGGTATTGGGTAAACTGCCTGTACAAATACTGTACTAAGCTTAGATTCAGTATTAGGTACATGTAAACTGCTTGCATAATTAATGTACTAAGATTTGCTTCTTGGTTTGTTGCCTTTACAAATAATGTACTAAGCTTAGATTCGGTATTGGGTAAACTGCTTGTATAATTAATGTACTTAGATTCGGTTCTTGTTTTGCTGCCTACACAGTTACTGTACTAAGATTTGATATTGTACAATTAATGTATTCAGATTCAGTTTTTGATGTGTTATCTGTAATCAGATCAACCATGACGTACTATTTTAACATTTACCTGATATGGAATGTGTATTTCTTGTGTGAAGGGGTTGTCTGTGGTTCCTCTAAACACGACTTTATTGAGCCTTGGCTGTATGACGATTTCCACGCTCCCTCTATCGTTGTAAAAGCAGTTGGAAACCAAAACCTGTTCGATATTTTCAGTATTTTGTACGTCTCTGAAACGAAATGTGATGCCGAGATGTTCCCCAAAGTATATGCCAGCGTACATCCATATTGTTAGAGCTCCATTACCGTCGAAACTTCCGACATTAGTGACAGCCCTCACTCTGCCATTGTTGCCAAGAGCAATATTTGTTCCACCTTCGTCCCTGATTGGCTCGCCATTAAACGGTATATAAAGTGGTGCACGACAACCTGTTATTGTATAAACAACAAATATTACGTATTCTGTATGAGTATCAACACCTTCTAGATGCTATCCTCAAACATAGCGTGACGATTCTTATTATCAAGTGCATTTTATTGCTATTTTGATCACTACCTTATACTTACCTTTTTACTTCAAATCGGTCGGAATGATTTCGATAGTGCTGATGGTATCATACTATATCAATGGTGCTAAAGTGTGAAAAGTTAAGTTCCATAGGACAGATATTGAAATTCATTCTTCCAATTGAAAATCACAAGATATGGTTTTTTGAAAGTTATTAAGTCCACACGAATCAAATTATTCTCTTTTTAATTAAAAAATGATAGCATGAATACAAATACGTTACTTACGTCGGCCATTGAGATTGACATCGGGGTCGTGATCTGAACAGTCACATGTTTGCTGGTTATATAGTGTGCCAAATGCACAAGGCCGATCCGTCCATTCGCCGTTAACATTCATCAGGAATACCTTCCTGTTACTTGGGTTGGGAAGTAGTTCACATGCTGCATTAGACAAAAGATTTATCTCAGTAAGGGTAAATTGAACATGGACTCTATCTAGTAAGTATTTATGTAGCGGAACTGGACTGGGTTGATCAACGGCAACCAGTTTCTAAAGTCGGAGGGTCCCGGGCTCGAATTCCGGTCTTGCCGTTACATTTTCTCTTTCTCCTGTTACATTTACAAGCAAATTACCTACACAAATTAACACAAAAGTGTCTAGGAACCTGATGCAACTAAATTCGTTGAAATGCTAGAAGTTTTGTTTTTGTTTTTGTAATTGTATAGCAATGACAACGTTAAGTTCTTATTCAGAAATATAGTTCGTATATGTCAACAAGAATGATATTGCTTGAGTAAAGATATATTATTTTTTGAATCACTTACGCTTTTCCGTTGTAATTTGGAAGTTGTCAGAGTCTCTTGGCGGTCGTTGTGGGTTGAACAGATTGAACTGGGCCGACACCACCACTGGTAACGAGAGTAGAAACAGAATTCATACATGGAAATATATCACATCACTTAAAGGAGCACGTTCTTGTTATATCAGGCTGTCGCTTATATCAAAATAAAATTCAAAACATAATAATATTTTTCATATAGTGTTTTTCTATGGTTAACATGTATTTTTAAATATCGATTGATAAAAGATACTATTAATTACTTGCTGATGTAATTCAGTTTCAGAAATTAAAAAAGAGGGACGTCAAAATGTTTTATCTCATTTTGATACACAATCGATATATATTTAACTACTAGCATATTAGAAAACACATCGTTTTCAATACTGAAAGGAATTATGGACACTTGTCATCACGTGCTATAGCACCGTAGTACAGCTTCGACTGCATATTGGTACATGTATAATCACTGTAAGTTAACATTACACAGGTTGACAGTATAAATGATCATTCACATTTTGTAACGTTATATAATCAAATGTAATGATCGACTATTCCCTTATAGATATATTCACTTACATTGATTTTCATAACTCCTCCGAAACCCATGTCGTTTGACTGTGAATTGGGATTTTGATATTGCCGTAATTTCTCCCGTAAATACCATGGGCTAAAGCTTTTTGTTCTTTTTTTTTTATGTTAGAAAATGCCGTTTGCGGGCTATCTAATGAAGAGGGCAATGTGACTATTCTTTTCCCAAAAGCGATAAAAGTGCGGACAATGTTATATTTTTTAAATCTAAAATCGTATACATTTTCTGTATAAGCTAAACACAATAAAATTGTAGAAATTTTATAGTTTATCATCAACACATATGCATGAAAGTTGGTTAATATTACTGGCACTGTATTTAAACGTCTATATAGAATACTAGGAGTCGTCATGCCTGTTTACGTTAGGATAATGAATGGTGCTATTAGTATATCAAGGCCAACTTAAATGATAAATAAAATCACGAAAGCATAGATTACTTACTGTGATATATATCTAGAAATAGTGACAGCATGAATGGACCTGACGTTGGAATTTAGCTTTCATGTAGCAAATAACCGCGGACAATCTACCGGGGCGGACAATCTACAGACTATATTTTATAAACATGATTTTTTCCAGGTGAGTGGCAATATAACGTAGCAGGCAATATGCACGACATAACGTTTTTTTTTATGTAGATACTGACTGTAACACAGCAGAAACACCATTGTTGTTGATTCTGCCACTCATGAATATCTGACTTCTAAGATGCTAGGTTTTCTTGTGTCGCTATTAAATTACATGATCCCATATTTTTCTAAATAATTCTAAATAATTTCTATTTTCTTTTGGCTGTTTCCCTGTGATATTTTATTGATAATTTTGCTATTTACTGTGTTGGAACGTCGGTACACCGGCTTAATCTTAAATGACGACACACAAATTCAGCCTTATTTTGATCTATCTTTGGAGAATATTTTAAATGTGTAATGTCTCCAGTGTAGACATACAAACATAGTTGTTATACATTCTGGAAGAAGCAGAATATACCTTTTAATCAGTATCGCCCTGATGTACACGTTACATATGTTGTTACCCCTGACTTGCTTTCCTTTCTTGGTTTTAACCCTGTTTTATTCGTATCAATTAGCATGTAAAATTACAGAAGACACTTCATTCAGATGATTTGGAAACAAGTACTTTTGTACGTATACATAGTTCTTATCATCAGAAAAAAAAATGGAAAATGATATAAGGTATACAGAAAGTAACTGATGGAATTTTACCCGGTTGGATTGCTGGTTAAGTTCACACGATATCTTAATGTAGTTAAATTAGTATTGCTTGTAAATCTTCATGTTAATTTGATAACATTAATGAGTAGCTATAATTGTTTTTTTACATTTTGATCAAACGTTAAAGATGCATCACCAAATAGTAGTTACTCAACACTTCATTGGTAAGGCAAAGGAGCCAAGTACCTTTCCTTTCTTGATTTGTCCATTGTACAAACGAATGGTGCTAGAGGGTCGTTTGAGCTGAAGGCTTATATTACGTAATGTGTTTAAGTGAATCACGATAAAGATGATTTAATTCAATGCTGCACCAATGAAACATCAGTTAAGTGCTGCTGTATGGTCATAACCATATATACATGTAATATACATATATATCGAAGATTAACGCATAGTTAATTTTTGCTTACATAAAACGTACCATGCAAAAACTACATCAGCATTTTTCTGCAAAATTCTCTTATTCATTCTTTCTCATTCTTCTTTCAATATCTATGTTTTGTTGCCAAATTGGCATTATAAAGCAATGTTTTACCAGAGGAGTTTGTTACACAAGATAAGAAAGACGATACAAGTACGTTGGTTGTATGGTTTCTGGTCATGATCAACACATGTCCTTTGTACATGTTCAATTTACCTGGGTGATACACAGTTCAAACTACATTACTGTCACACATAAAGTCATTTTCCATTTTATCATATTGTTTCATCCGTTAGCACTAAATGACATATAAGATTATTGCATTTGCATCAAATAAAAATGCATTTCAACTGAAACGGGATAGGTTATTCACGCTTCACGTTGTCTGCGCTGAGTTCATCGTTACACCTAAGCGCATTGCCATCTAAAAAACTATGTACACGTATTGTATTAAATCATTATAATAAGTTTCCATATCTTCCTTGTAGGAAATAGTTCATAGTCATAACAAAGCTCACCACCTGTTCACTTGCAAAACACAAGTGAATGTGGTTATCAAAACAGGTTGAGAATCATGAACGGCCACTCCATAAACTCAGTATGCTAACTAGACTTTGACTAATAGGTGTTGGGCTGTCATACACTGCTTGCCCGAGGGGTACACTGTGTATCAAACAACTCACCGGTGTGTCGTATGCTAATACACATACAAACACATATTATATAAACATAGATCTTTACTTGGTGTCATCGTTCTCACATTTGACAGGGACGATTCAATACGTTTTTAAGGATGTACACCTCTGAGAAGCCAAACTTTTCCTGTATTAAACTTTTTTTCTTATATGGATTTTTGGAAAAATGAGCTAATGGCATAGTAGAAAATGCAAAAACAAATGTATGTCGGTGTGTTCGTTTTTGTGGTATGATCGGTCAAAGAAACCAATTTAACACAACATGTGATTTTAGGTGATTATTTGGGTTTTGACAATTTTTTTGCCGATTAAACGCTTGATATAAAAAGTTCTGGTATTAAACTTATTTTAATATTTAATGAATTAAATGAAAATGTGTTTCTCTTTCTTAAACATCTACAAAAATGAGGGGTCAGTGTGCTTCTTTTTTTGTGCCATTATCATTTGTGTTATTTTTTACCTTTTGTCGGGGTTAAAAATCAAAAGTGCTTCAGTAACACTAAATACGTAAAAAAAATCAATTATGTATAATTTTCCAGTTTGTTGCATATTACTTTTATCATATTGAACATTATAAAGTTGTAAGGCAAAATTGAACATGCTACAATTAAAAATGGCGACACAATGACAACTTAAGTGATCAATCTAGTGTCAAAAAAGGTGAAATTTTGGCCTTTTTTGGAGCGCAAGAAATACACATTAATACACATTTTCAAAATGGCCGCTGAATTGGTAATTCTTTTTAAATTCTTGTTAAAAAAGTTCTACAAACAACAGGCATCTTGTTTTTTGACATATTTTTCAGATGCGTGTTTGCTAATAAACTTGATCATAATTTGTTAGATGTTTCAAAAACCCATTACACCAGATCAAAACGCGACTTGAACGTGATTGAAACCTCAGAAGAGTACATCCTTAAATGAATTCAACTTTAAGTTATGTACAGATTTTATCTTTAATGTTATTATCATATATACGTTGTTGACATTTTCAATTGAAACTACTGGATACAATTAGAACTACGCAACTGTGACTTTTGTAATCCAACCTATATTTAGCCGAAACCTTTGTTTTAGATGGCCAATATGCGCGATATCGTAACAGTTCAACAATTACAACCATGTACAATGAGTGTGGGTTTAAATATATTTATAAGGTGAAGGTGATAGAGTACATACCGTACTAGTTATCGAAACGTCACGCATAAGACCGTTCCTGGTTGTTCTACTTAAATCTTTTTGCAATCCATACTAACCATCTTAAAGTTTAGAAAAAGGAGTGCTGGTGTGAAAGGGGTAACCTTAGTAGATAGGTTTTATATCCACAATCAAAGTGGATTAAAGTAGCATGTTTATTTTAGCTAAAGAAGACAGTGTGTTTATTCTAATAATAAATATCTAGAATTATGAAGCATGGTCGGTAGTATAAATAATTGAACAAAACGCCTATCGCTCCAAATGGACAAAGATAATAGTTTTCAATGATTTTGTTTAGTTTATTGGTGTTAAAGGTCCAATTAATTATAACAGCAATGGTCATTTAAGGACGTGACAGGTTTGGTTGGTGGAGGACACCGGACTACCCGGAGAGGAAACGCGGAAGTGCTGCCAGTTCCTAGTTCACGTAGGCCTCGCACTCGCGACACCGTGTTGAAGGGCTAGTGATAGAAACGGTCAGATGATTTAGCCACTTGACCACTGCGGCCCGTAAGAAGCTTTCTGATAAATCATTACATGCATGTTTATTGCTGTTGTATCAAAGAAACTTTTAGTTTTCATAGACACTTTTACATAATATTTCGAATTATTAAGTATTTTTCGAAAATAAGCATATTCATATTTACATCAATATTTCTTATTCGTTCTATGCATGAGAATGATAAAAGCTGAACTATGTTATATCCAAAGCTTATGTAGAAAGTTTATGCTGCAATTCTCTACGCGGACAAAGACTTTAGTGATTGATTGATGATATGATGGATCAGATCATAACAGCATATCAGCACAGTAAGATTATTTGAGCAGGTAAATAGTACATGGGCATGACAATAGATAATCATGAAGTTAAAAAAGAATAGAAAGGAGGAAATGTTAAGCATGGTATGCAACTTTTGTCATATTTTGCAACATTTATTTGCGAATTTTTATCCGCATTCTAGTGTTATTTATTTATTTTATCACTGGACAACATAAAACTCCGCTTAGACTTAAATTGTACATTTACTTACCTAGTAGTGTTATACAAATCCAGAGCAAGGTACTTTGTTTCAAACCAAAGATGGCCATTTCAATCTTGTTAATTTAAGACGCCGATGTAACACTCCCTTTAACAACTTGTTCTTCCTAAAGTTTCTGTGGTTTAAAAGACATCTTGTTATCAGAAGAATGCTGCAAAAATAATTAGCCCTACGGCCGTTAAGTTCACAATCTTTTTTTATCTGTTGATCTAAGACTCCTCGCTTCTTTTCCATGTGGAATCTCTCATAAATATTAATAGTAAATTTCCACCTATTTAATATTCCGTACGGCTGTCACGACAAGGAGTTAAAGAGCGGTGACGTATTGTCACTTGTAGTCATTTACTGCCCATCACACATAATCTATACCTTTATACTAAAGCGATTAAACATTTAGATGTTAAACCGGTCCTATCTACCAAGTAGACCAAGTTAAGGATCGATATAGGGCAATACACGGGGAGACACGACGCAATGTATTTCGTCATTTAGATTCTTACGAACTTTATTTCACATACTTCCCTCATATTATTATTGCGGTAATCATGATTTTGATGTTATTTCATCAATTCAATCCTAGCTTGTCATCTTACGTCATGGGATTGGTTCTTATGTGGAGAGGGTGCTGTGTAATGTCATCTTGCCGTACCTGGAGAATGTGACAGAGACATTTCGAACCTGAGGGATGATTGTTTTGTTTTTATTGTTTATACCGAGGTTCTGCGAAGAGTTCGACAACCAATTAGTTACTCAAATGTTAGCCATTTCACTGATACACACTCAAGATGGTTAATGATCCTTTTTCCCATCCTTTTATTTCAGTCAAATGTTCACCGTCAATAGTCTTGCATGTTTGTAAACAAAAGCAATGGTGGTGAACGAATATAGCAATTCTTTTTTACTGCGTCACAATGGAGGATAAATCCCCCAGGGGATGACAAGCTGATATTTCAAGGCTAAAATGGGACACACACATGTGAAGCCTGGGAGAAATAATTAACAATACACGAAGAGTAACTCAGTGTCAAAACCAACAATACAAAAATAAACACAAAAAAAATACCTGAGAGTAATCGTTTGGTGATACACATATGGCATCGACCGTCATATATCTTGTGTGTTGGCATCTTAGGGTCTCTAACGGTTTAAGACACAGTTAACATGAGAAAACCTGTCATAAATTGAAATCGTCTTGTAAAAATTATAAATATACATAATTATAACATGACATCAGGGATAATAACAAAAGTATAATAACAGAAACCAATGACATGACTAATAAAAAGAAAAGACAATAGCATGAACCAAGGAAATGACACTAACCGAAACTCAGGAGACATCAGAATTAAAGGAAATGACACTAACCGAAACTCAGGAGACATCAGAATAAAAGGAAATGACACTAACCGAAACTCAGGAGATATCAGAATTAAAGGAAATGACACTAACCGAAACTCAGGGGACATCAGAATAAAAGGAAATGACACTTACCGAAACTCAGGAGATATCAGAATTAGAGGAAATGACAACAACCGAAACTCAGGAGACATCATAATTAAAGGAAATGACACTAACCGAAACTCAGGAGATATCAGAATAAAAGGAAATGACACTTACCGAAACTCAGGAGATATCAGAATTAAAGGAAATGACACTAACCGAAACTCAGGAGACATCAGAATAAAAGGAAATGACACTAACCGAAACTCAGGAGAAATCAGAATAAAAGGAAATGACAACAACCGAAACTCAGGAGATATCAGAATTAAAGGAAATGACAACAACCGAAACTCAGGAGATATCAGAATAAAAGGAAATGACAACAACAGGGACTCCAGAGATGCCGAATTAAAAGAAGAAGAAAAAACAAGAAGTTAAAAGAAAAAACAGCAATAGGAACCGAGGAAATGTCAAATAAATAGGAAAAAAGACAACAACAAAAACAGGAAGTGAGGAGATGCAAATAGATAATGAGACAACAAGAGGAACCAAGGGGGTGAAAAATATCATCAATTAAACGAACCAACAAACAAATTTCGGTGATGCATCGTAAGATTCCAAAGTGTAGTATGTTTGGTATTGTTTATTGTATTATGATATGTTTAAGTAGATTGACATGACATGATAACAGCTTTGATACGTACGATCTTCCATACATACCAATCACTCAATGTTAAAACCTTATAACCTTAGCTCCATCAACCTATCAGTTTATATGCAGTCGCATCTAAATCAAACCGTTCTGTATATTATATTCTGACATAGGAAATAGTCGGCGTTTGTAGCGCCGCCCTTACATCTGTAATGGATCCGTACATATTTGCATGTATAATATAGATATCAAATGTAGATTTCTGTTGTTAACTCCCTTCACTGACGAAAACGGAAGCATGTGTAGTTAACATTGTAAAGTTACCATTGACAGCTTACTGTTTTGTTACTAAACTTAAATGGATTTGATTTATTTTTATTCAACACAATGAAAGTTTACAAAAGAGACAAATTCTTGAGATCATGATGTTACAATTACATACAAGTTCTCCGGCAGAATTTTTTTTATCCCTTACTTATCGGACCCAAAACAAATTGTAGTGCGATTATATCTTTGTTTTATTTTAATAAGACACATGACCTGTATTTCAATCTTTATGTTGATGACATAGTCTCACTTGTGATATATCGGAAATAAAACGCGTTTAAATAATGTTTATTGGACCAAAGAACGTTTTCAAAATCAATATTTATAATCATATTTGAGACATCCGGAAGTTTCATTGTTTTTTCATGTATCTCCAAAATACAATTTAAACAGAAAATGATAATAAGTAAGTATATAAATGAACAGATTAAACATGAAAAACAAACAAATAAAACAAAATTACATAGAAAGTATGAACTTTTATTGAATCAGTATTTCGTAATATTACAATATATCTGTATACACGTTTTCACCCTGTGGTACACAAGCATTTAGCTATTCAAATATATATATCTCAAGTATATCCCTCATACAGCCGTTGTTAGTATGTGAATACAACAGGGAAATACATGTGAAAATTAAGAACCTATACACTCGGCTTAGCCAAAATGTAAGCCATATTTAAAATGCATTCATCTGATACACAAATAGCCGTGAATATAGTCAGATTCAAAATTATTGTCACGTAATGATAAATTGTCACGTGATGATAAATATTTGCCTAAGCTTAGGCAGCACAATACATTAAAGAGTTCGATTATAAAGATATTTTATCAGAGGTTCTTAATCAAACACAGATATTAACTTTGCAACTTTCGACGGTTGAGAGGACCAAATCTAAATTGTATATTTGGCCACCAGTTATAATACTTACAAAGGCCAACGAACTATTACGAAATCTACATTTGCATATACGTACAAAAAGCAAGCTTTATGTTTATATCTTATCTTAAAATGTACAAGTGATTGCTTGTAAAAAACCAGCTAACTGATTTACACACAGACACACACAAAAACTACTGATTGATAGACAAGTCATTATATCAGTAGACACATGACGTCTCAGTAGACACGTGACAGTCGTTAGGTATTCCATCAGGTTGAGGTTATCATTAGCTGTTGTTGTACTATATCCAATAGAATCCAATTATTCAATTTCCCATTGGTGATGTGTTTGTATATCTAACGGCTTACGGTAGTTACTGGCTAATAGGAATTTCTAATTCAAAATGTCCACTTAATACTCCAAACAAATCATTGTTATGTAACGTATGGTTAACATCGACTACGATGGAATCAGATTGATCGGTTACACAAATAAGCATGCTTTCAGCAAGGCGCACTGTTTTCTTTTCAAACATCTTTTTCAATTTGATTTTAATGAGGTTGGGTCTTTGTACATGTGCTCTTTTTATGAGGTCTACATCCGAGATTTGTATATGTGATATATGAATCAGTTATATACATGATATCTATATTTGTATGCACCTGTACAGTAGATATGAAGTGACGTTACAGATTTTATAACGTTTGAGTTAATTTGCTATAAGAATGTTCCAGGCCCAATTAAAGCTATGCTAATACTGACAATTCACGGAGACTCTGTTATCTTACACGGCTATGACATTTTAAACATATACAGTTGGTCCGCGATATACCGTTCATGTTTCTTCCTATGAACAGTAGCTGGACAGTGAGACAGCTGTGTGACTGGGACTAATGCGTGTAAAAAAAGACAAATCTGCCCACTAAAACGTTGGTTTGACAGTGTGACAACATTAGTGTTGACAGAATTAACGAAATTCGACTCTTTATCGACAGTATTTTATCGAAAGATACATGAAAACGAGCACACATTGTTCCGTTGTCATCTCAAGAAATTCATTTCTCCATTCAGATTACACGATTACCTGACGCCTGATTTACATACACAATTTTTATTGTTGAATACGACAAACATGGCATCATGTAGGACAAAAAAACACTTACTCTCGGGTTTTTTTAATATGAAATCACCCAAGTTAAATGTCTTTGTTCCTCATCAACATGCTGCAGTAAATATACCTAATAGACTAATAAAATGACAAAACATTTAAACAGTGCTGCTATTCATTTTTCGTAACCGCTATTTGACTCGTCTCGTAAATCCAAAATTGCTATTCGGTCGTGTCAGTCCAAAATGGTTCACGCATCTATACACTCTCAACTGCAACACAAAATACAATGAATCAGCTGTTTTTATATTTGGAACATGTTACATTAGACTTGTATAATGCATTACAAACCCTGTGATAAACTGAGAGAGAAACAACGTTTCCCTAGTTGATGAATGTAAAACATGATTGAACAACAAAAATTCGAGTAGCCTTACTCCGAAGAGCGACAATAATACATTTTAAATACTATAGTTACTTATATATATTCAATATTTACGATAAGAGTCTTTCATATTTACCAATTATCTAACATGAGAGTTAAACGTTTTGCACATGATGATTCATGAATAGTTTTGAGAGAAAAAATAATATGTATCGAAAAGTTGGTTCAAATTTATATTTAATAAGATAAATCGGGAAAAGGGATAACTGACGAAAGTTCTTTTAGCTATGTTACATATTTTGTTTTGCAAACAAATGTAAATAAATAAGAACTCCAAAGAGCAGATACCTTTGCAAATGGTTTACTTTCATTTCGATACACAGGTTCCTAACATTGTACTATGATATAAAACCAAGCCACCTGTTGGAGGTTGATATATCTTGTATAATAAGAGTTAACATTGTTAACAATTATCGTGTAATATTAATTAGAAAATTATTGAAATATCTATGAACAGCTGTCTGAAAAGTAATACACAACGTTCCTAGAACTTTCAGAATATACATATATATACTTACCTCATCCACATAGCCCACGTATCCGCGCCCGTTACACATTCCTATTTCGAATCCACTAAATCTGATATCAAGATTTCCTACAAATAAATTAATATTCGTAATGTCTCAGGCTCGAGCATCCCATATTTCACTTACATTCTTCTACTCTATGTCAAATTAAGGTTTGACCGAGAAAACGTACCAGTTATTTGATATTTTACTACTGCTATTAACATTTCAAACTCGACATACACATTTAACACAAGAACGGTATTAATACATAGCATAATATCTGCATAAACCGACGTACATATATCTTATTTATACAGAAATGACAGCAGCTGATTGATTAAGCACGTGCTAATTTTATAGCTTGGACGACATCACCCATATCTCATGACCTACCTCTAAGAGGGATAGATTTCTCCTCCTCATTGACCTTTCCAGTCAAAGTGGACCCGTCATAAGCATACGTCACATTCTTCCACATCTTTTCCTAGTAACAATGTCAAAAAACTGTTTAAATATCTTAATTTACATCTTAATTTGGATGAAGTACATTTTCTTTTTTTTTTCCTTTTAATTAGGTAATCATCACAAATTTTATATGATAGCATGCGAATGCAATTTGAATTTGTAATCAAAGGACATGTTTCAAATGATCCATCGATCTTATTTCATCATTGTGAATGCAATATTGTTAATATCTTAAATTGATTTAAAAGTAGACTTGATCAATTTTTGGTATTGATTTATGTGTAAACTTATTTAATTAATGTTTAAATGGTGTAGATTAACAGCTGTACTTTGAAATATGTGAAATAGAAGATTATATGCATCGCACATGTCATACATAGTGTAATTGACATTTTAGCGTGAAATCGGGAAGACTTTGCCACATGTAAGGCATAAGTTGTATAAATGTTATCATCAATCAATCGTCAGAGGCAGTAGTATACCGTAAATATCACATGTATCGAGGGTTGCATCGTGTATAGCAACGGTATGCTATAACTTAATGGAATATTGAATAACTGTATTCTGTTTTTATTATATCTACTTATCAAAATGCGCATGTAACATTTTTTAAGATTTAAAGTAAAGTAATTCTGAAAAACAATTTATGTATTTTTACACTAAATATTAAAAATCCCTTTCACACTATCGAGAAAACACAGGAGAGTTCCACTGTAATTTGTTCCATACATACAGTAGCCTCCCTTGTTTTATTTTTGAGCCAGTACTAATACCGTGGAATAGAAACCTGAGTTAGTTGGAGCAGCAGTCGGAGGTTCCGGGTTCGACTTTTGGTTTTGACTGTTAGAGTTTTACTCACAGAACACTTCTTTTTCTGTATTGTTTTTTATGCTTTTCAAAAATGCTTTTCATTCCAATAAGTAATTAAAGTTTTTTGTTAGGGATCCTTAGAAAAATAAACTATATCATTTTCTTATATGATTTAATGGAAATAAATTAGAATCGTTTTAATGTATCTTTTATAATAGTATATACGTAATATCACATTATATTCAAACGTTTTACATTCAAATCATTGCTTAAAATTATTTTCTTAATTAAATGATAGAAAGAAATCCTGTTAATTTGCACATTATCCTACCTGATAAGGCAGTGTTATCTCTACCGGACCAGACAGCGCTGTGTTGCCCCGGAACACAACTTCCTTTTTTCGAGGACGCGTGGCAATTTCAATGGACCCCAGCTCCTTGTCGAAACAATTCGACACTAACACCTGTTCCTCAGGTCCTCCTGGGAAATCGTAGAACCTCAGGTTAATTGTCAAAAGTTCGCCAAAGTCCATATTTGAATACATCCAGATGGTAAGGCGGCCACTACCGTCAAACCGGCCAGCGTTCGCTACAGAGTCCACGTTACCGTTGTTACCGATGGGAATACTGGTCCCGGCACCATCAGCAATAGGCATCACGTCAAATGGAACGTAGAGTTCTGCTCGGCATCCTGTAAGTAGACAGACACGTGAATGGTATGCAATATGATGTACATAAGGATAACAAACTACATTTACTGTCCTACTCGGCATCCTGTAAGTAAAGACACACATGAACGGTTTGCAATATGATGAACATAAGGATAACAAACTACATATACTGTCCTACTCGGCATCCTGTAAGTAAAGAGACACGTGAACGGTATGCAATATGATGAAAACAAGGATAACAAACTACATATACTGTCCTACTCGGCATCATGTAAGCACAGAGACACATGAACATTATCCAATGGGATATACGGAAGGATAACAAACTGCATATACTGTCCTACTCGGCACCCTGTAAGTACAGAGACACATGAACGATATGCAATATGATTTACATAAGGATAACAAACTACATAATATACTGTCCTACTCGGAACCCTGTAAGTACAGAGACAGGTAAACGATATGCAATATGATTTACATAAGGATAACAAACTGTCCTACTCGGCATCATGTAAGCACAGAGACACATGAACATTATCCAATGGGATATACCGAAGGATAACAAACTAGATCTATATGTAACGTTCTACTCGATATCATCCATGTACAGACTCGTCAGGCCAATATACGTTAAGCTATATATGGTGAGATATGGCACTTCAGATGTATTTAACATCCTGCTTTCTGTTATGTGAAATATATTTCAATTTATAGAATAATTGGAAAAAAGATGCATTTCAATATGCGTGAATATCCCTTTATGCATTCTAACATGAATATGTCTTGGTTTAAATAATGCTTTCTTGTGACTAAATAGATCAAATGTATCCCAAAACGTGAACACGGAAGTAGGGTGTGACTACAATATAAGCAAGCACTTAATAATTGTGAGTGTGTGACTAAAATTTGAAACCGATGCCTACCGCGAATTGACACGAAATTGATTACCACGCACATTGGTGGTAAATCTACAGTAAGCAATTGAAATCAAGACGTTTGTTTTTCAATTATAACAAAAACATGTTTTTATGGTACGGATAACGCTACATAACTCAAAATAAGTGTTGTCCCTACTCTCGGTAGTTTTCAAAGCATTAATTTGCAATTCAATTTGTATCCCATTTTGCACTTATCAAGATATGGATCGTACTGTAAATATATATCTCTAAGCTCGTTATAAAACCACATTGAATATCAAATGTAGTTTATATAATTGACCAGTAAGGTAAGATCTATATAGACATAGATCATTGTCTCCTATATAACAAATATCATATGTATTTACGGTTGTTTCATTGTAATAACTATTTAGTATCGATAGGATACTGATATAGCTGTACTTACGTAGGCTTGAGACTGGGGCGATATCATCACATTTACACGTCTCCTCTCTGAATAGAGTGCCAATAGGACAGGGGCGCTTACTCCAATTGAATCCAATCACAAACTCCTGGTAAAAGTTCCTGTCTGGGTCTGGACGAAATCTGCATGCTACAATAAGTAAAAACATCGAATATCTGCTTGAAAAGATTCATATGCAAATCAGAATTTAGGTGTATTTGTATATGAATTGGTAATATGGTTTCAATGTGAAAGTTATATGTTTTAAAAGTCGTTACTATGGATACAATGACGTAGAAGAGTTTACGTAATTCTTTCACATTTATGTACTATTGATGGTACATTTAATTCAGGCGTATTGGTCAAGTTACCAACCGCAGGTTTATCTTATGTATTTTAATTTCATTTAATTTGAATTTAACATTTGAATAACGTACAATTTTATTAGCTGATAGAAAATAAAAGAATAGAGCTTCTTTGCAAACTAAGAAATGGTCGTATAATTTACTTAATCATATCTCTTATGAAAGAAACGGAAAGTGTTGAATTAATGTTCCCAGTCACATGTTTATGTTTAACATGTGTTTTCGTGTGAAGAGAAAATATAATTGCATATATAAACTAACAGAGATCTATCTCTTGTACTTGTTAAAGACGAACGTACCACACACACTCACACACGCCAGCACAGGTTACTACATCGAGACAGTATGCCGAATCAGGAATTACTCTGCACCATACAGCTCATAACAATTTATGAGAAATCCTTCATCTGGTAGAAACAATCAAATAATTCCCTGAAGTGGGATTTTCTTTTCGTTACTGACATACATACTAGAGACGATTAACGTGTAATTTTGGTTGTCATGGATCTTACGTTCTGGTGTGGTTGTCATGAGAGGTCGAACGTTGTCAATGACCGGTCTTCGTCCTGGTCTCATGGTCCGGTCCGGGAAAGGCCTCGTTTGGGGTCGACTAGTGGTAGGAACCTTAGGTAGCACCACTACAAATGACAGAACAACTAGAGTTATTTCCCTTCTCATGCATTACGCTGATAATATCCCAAGTAAAAATTATCTCCGTGTTGGTTCCAGGGGCTTTCTGAGCGTATTGTTATTTTCAACGTATTATTCTGAAAACCATAATCTCCGTAGTCTAGAACTTGGTTGAATGGACAACGTCGAAAGAAGACTTATAGTAGGATAAACAAAATTTCAATATTAGATGATATATTAACATGTACATTTAACATCAACAAGGCTAACGCCACAATAATAGTATGTGCGTTTCAGGTAATATATTAAACAAATAAGGATGGTCAGTAGGCAATTTTAATTCTATTTTTTTGTTTACGCTCATGGATCAATGATATGCCTATATCATATTTTACAATGCATTTCAACATATACTATTGGGTATTAATTTATCAAAATAAGGGTCACACTGCCAGATCAGGTAGAAAGTGCTTTTGAATGCGTGGCTGTAAGTTCTCTCAAAATAAAAAATAAAAAATTATAAAAAACAAGAACACAAGACTACCTCTAGGCCCTTTCTGCTTTCTTTGGATATATATATATATATATATATATATATGAAAAAATATGATTATGAAAAAATATCAAAATCTATTTATTTGTGGTTACACTACACATTATTAAATATCATTAAACATAACTATTTATATATTTCAAATACAATTTGAAAATAACCTATGGTAATAATGTAAACAACAAATCAAAAGTATTAATCTACATTATTCTGATGGATAGGTGAGGATATCATATCCTGGTGTAGATGCATATGTATAATACACACACCGCTCACTGCAAAAACTCTCACGCTTCACCGATTCATCCATCACGTATACGTATTGTTTGTCTGTGTTCAGTCGGGCGTAACATAATTGACCGGCGTACATATTAATAAAAAGATCGCATGTTTGGACGTAAAAGTGTCATGTTGCATTACGGCAGTGGACGTTCACACCTGATTGACCTGGCTAACGCTAACTATTACCTACTAAAGTGAATACACGCTTCATACACGAACACCTACGTAGAACAACCAACTCGCATGTGTAAGTTAATGAGTTTGGCACACGATGCATATATATCAGCTAACACTGTGGCGGATCCAGAGACCTATCTGGGGGCAGCTTCCACATTTCCAGGGGGGTTTCCATGTTGGAAAGAATGAGGAAAATCGTGAAAATACATGATTTTTAAAGAAAAATCCTAGGGTAAGGGATTTCTTGAAGCCAAAAAACCCCCCACTAAATCCGCCACTGTAATACACAGATTGAATTGAAAACGGTACAGTGTATACCTACTACATAACATGAATGTAAGTAAATGTTTATACTTAAAACCTCTCACACCGATGTCATTCAAGGTGTAACACGGTAGTTGTCTACCATCTTATACGTACATGTATTTGTAAGTGTAGCGGAACTGGACTGAGTCGTTCGCTGGCGACAAGGTAGTTTAATTGGTAAAGCGACAGTTAGTGAGTCAGTTCGCATGGTCCCGGGTAAGATTCCCGGTCTAGCCGTGCATTTCCCCCGTTTTCAGTTCAAATCGTTCCCTGTGATCAGCACTGTCTGAAGTATTTGGTGAAATAGTATTGTCTTCGGGGCAACAAATTAGAAAAAAGGTAACTCAGTTGGTAGAACGTCCGTCTTGATTACAGGTGGTCGGTATAATGGAAATTTACAAAAACACAAAAAAACTTGCAGAACAAGGTCGAAAAGCACTATTTGCCATAAATAATGTATGTAAAAAGAATTATCTTAATATAGAATCTCATCTTGCTGTTTTTGACACGTTTGTCAATAGTATTTTAATGAACGGTTCAGAAATTTGGGGATTTCATAAAGCACCCGAAATAGAAACATTGCATATTGGATTTTTGAAATCATTATTAGGATTAAGAAAATCTACAAACTCTGCATTTCTTTATATTGAATTTGGAAGATCTCCTTTAGAGTTGTTAAGAAAAGTTAAAAATTTTAAGTATTGGATTAAATTACAACGTTCTGATCACTGTGTGCTGAAAGCTTCTTATGTTAATATGGTTGAAAATAAAGACCCCTGGATCCTTAACTTAAAACATGAGTCGGCCTTGGATTCATGTTTGTGACTGATAGTATTAATCATTCTAGTGAAGTATATAAGCAGCGATTATGTGATAGTTTTCAGCAAGATAGTCTAGAGAAAGTTCATTCTTCTTCTAAAGGAGTATTATATCAGCATTTAGTGGAATGTATTAAATTGCAACCATATCTTCATAAGGCAATTCATTTTAATTATTTAAAACATATTTCTAAGATACGTTTAAGTGCGCATGACCTTCTATTGAACGTGGCCGTTACAGAGATATACCTAGAGAAGAAAGAAAATGTATTTTATGTAATAAAAATGATATAGAAGATGAATTTCATTTTATAATTAAATGTAATCGCTATGCAGACCTCCGGTCTAAATACATAAAGAATTATTCTTTCAAAAGGCCTAGTATGTATAAATTTGTTCAATTACTCAAAATCGAAAACACAAAAGAACTTAATAATTTAGGAAAGTATTTATCACTAGCGTTTAAACGTAGAGCAGATTTATTAAGAGGTCATCAATAGAACAGGTCATGTTAAGATACATGTTGTACATCAGTTTATTGTATACAAATTATGTAATATACCATTTAATTGACAAGTCATGTATGGGTGAATGAGGGTGAAAAATGTGTATCAATGTCAGTATGATGAATGACGAATGATTACTGCTCCTGTTGCTGATATGATGATCATGATGTAATGATGTGATGATGCGATGATGATGATGATGATGATGATGATGATGTGTGCGAGTTAGTGTGAGTGGTCTTGATGATGAGGATGATGTTTCTGAGTCAATGTGAGTGTGTCCTTGTGAGTGTCTTTGTCTTATCGTCATACTATAGACACTTGTTTCTTTCGATTTAAGTTCATTGATTTGCTTTATAGGATCAAGCCCAAGGCAAACTGATTTATTCTTTCTGTCAAACAATGCCTTACAACATTCCGTTTCACAAACATGACTAATATTTGGTTCCGTATGACACTTGCTGTAGAATGCATATAAGTATGGTAATGTATCGGTATAAAGAATAAGATCGAATAAAAAAGCAATAAATGTCTGGACGTCTAGCTCATCATCATAGATATGTATAATGTTAAACTCTATTCAGGTTGTGTGCATTGATAATTTGAGATATTCAAAAAACAATCGAAAGTAAGTAAGAAAGAATTGATATCCTTAAACATATTAGTTCGTTATAGATATGTTTTAACATGCCATATTAATTTAACCAGTAGTGCTATATAAATACCTCATTGACATCAATCTCTGCAATACTTATACACTTATGATAATTACTCATAATTCAACATTCCAGTGTATTCATGTCACCTGAAAAACTACGCATATTTGCATAAGTTATTAAAACGGTATGTAGAATTATATTTTGGGCGTTAACTTGTAATGCATAATCTATCTATAAAACGCCCTTCACCATCAAGACAGGACGTTTCTCTGGGTCATTCTATGTAGCAGACAGTTACACTGGTGCGCCGATCAACACCGACCACAAACCAAACCATTAAATCAGAACAAGTCACTTACTGTTCCTGTCTTTGGGCCAATCGCAGGCACATTTTTCCGGGTAAAATATAGTTCCTTGAGCACAGTAGAAGTCAAGTGACGTTCCGAGGGAGAACAGGTGAACTCGGTACTTATTTATAGAGTTTGGAACTGGCTGCAACACGCAACCAACTGAAATAGATAGAATTGGAGGCTTTATATATGTCATAGTACAACAAAATCAGTTTTGCAAAATTAGTTCATATATAGCAAAATCATTAATGCATATAACTGTTAATGATCTGTTGTCTGGGGTTGTTTGTGGACGATTTATGATAAATTCACCGATTGACGCAAATTTTACTTCCGCTTTTTGGAATATTGTAAAAATGCAAATAACTAAGTGTGACGAGAACCGTAATTCGAACTGAAATTCGATGAAAAATCGGTAGAGTACGAAGAAATGATAAGTAACACAAATACAATGGCATCGACAGAAACTTACGTCTCTTCCTGTCTGTACTCTGAATGTTTTGTGTGTTCCTGGTGTTTGTAGCTGTTATCACGTTCCTTGGAACAGACGTCAAAAGTTGCGAAGACACCAATTTGAAGCATACCCCAAAGACAACAACCAGCATCAAAGTTGGTAGCATAGCCATACTGCAAGCAAATACATGTAAGATATATTTCCATATTCATTTAGTTAACGTGAAAGAAATTACTTTAAAACTATGAGTTATTATCAAAGATGGAATTCGAAATTCTTGAAAACAGTGTTTTGAAAACTCAATTAATAATTTTGAGTTTTGATAAAAACGGAATGGGGGGAATGTGGGTGGGAATGGAAAATACCAAACCATACATAGTCATTTGTCCAATGTTTAAATAAAGAACATTGAGTATGTGATTATGAGTCATTTGTCCAATGTTTAAATAAAGAAATCGAATGATTACCTTGATCAATACTGTTAAAAACAAATTGGTAAAGCATACGGCCACAAATGTGAGCTTGTATTATTGGCCTAAAGTTTAGTGAAATGTGATGAAGATGCACCATTTTTTCGTGTAAGATCATTTTCCGAGTAATTCAGCGTTAGGCATCTTTCGCGAATTCAATAATCTCACAAACATTTATACATCACGTAAGACAAACACGTCAAATGAAACATATTTAATGTTCTCGGGAAGATAGATATAGAAAGACACTGAATTTGTTCGAAATACAGGTAATGTACAGTGCCATTGGTAGCTAATGTTTTATGTCAGTTTGTAACCGACGTTCTATATAATTAGTAGCTGTTGTTGTGCATTATTTATGCTCCTAATTGCACTCGGTGCTTCGCCGTAAATGTGTCAAATCTCGCGAGATGTGCACACGTAACCTTGTCTCCTGTCAATCATTCGAGCCATTTATTTGTATATTAATTACAAGTTATTACCAAGTATGAATAAAGGCATGTAAATACTGACATTAATATGTATGAGCTTACATAATGTATCAGAAATACATTGATCCTAAAATGATGTACATACTGATGTGTTGTACATACAAATGTATCGACTGGGAAGAACCTATCTATGAACTACATTGCCTTAGAGAAAACAAACTTTGCCTTCATTGTGAAGCTACTTACATAAATACCTACACTCTCGGAGAAAAGTACATCTAAACAGAATTAACACATTTATGGTTTCATAGCTGCAGAGTTGATATTTATAAGCTATCTTAGTAACAAAAATAAAGTTGGGGAATATAATCTTCCTTTATCAATATCTTCTGTATAAGCAAATAATATCCTGAAGCAGATCACAAAGCATGGTATACAAATGATATCCATTGGAATACTGGTAATATATGGAAATTTTCTAAATTTCCAAGAATTTTAACAGAAACTTTTTACTCACCAAACATTAATCAAGTGGACAATTTAATTGATTCCAAGTGTTCCGTATAATAAGTAGATATATCAAAAGTTTAACAAGTGCTAATTTTGGAAAGCAATTATATTACTGCCCCACTATCGAAATATACTTTGAAGTAATTAAGTGGTTTTAAGCTGAACAAAAGGCAGATCCGGCAATAAACCGCTGTCTGTCTTGATGACTAGTTTGCAATAAATGGATCCATTATAAATGGGATACATTGCCTAGAAGCCTTTATTGATACAGGATATGATTTGAGTATTTATAGTGATATGTCAATTATTTCTCTGGGAAATGTTGATTGGCTATCTCGTAATAAACACGAGAACAACGAAATCTGAATAAAACTCTAACTGATAAAACTACTGCTACCATGAACAAGTGTAGAAATTAACACCGATACCATCTAAACTACACGGAAAATAGGACCAGGTGTTTCGGAAGAGTAAGCGTCTACTGCTGCTTGTAATTGTAATTCTTGGTACAATTTTAGTAATACCACATCCTCAAGGTGCGAATCAGGGAAGTAATAAGGGAATCAAAAGGCACACTTATTAGCATAATCAATAACATAAATATTCATATCTCACAAGGAAATAAAATAGTTCCAAATAAGAAAATATAATAGCAACCATAAAACTTTCTCACTTTCTTCGTCAACCTGTATCTCTCGAAATTCGTCAGCATTTGAGTATATTAGGGCATCGTGCTGTTTCGAAAAAGTCCATGAATCAGCAAGAACATGTAAACACCTTAGGTGGGGACACAGGCATGTTACGTTTAGAAGATTAACTAAGAATGTCAATTTATATGAAAGTAAAATAGATAAAAAGAAACTCATTAGATTGTTTTCAGCTAAATCGACCTCATCGTTTTTATAAAACATGGAACAAAATCAGGTTGACTTCAACCTAAATATTTGAACCAGTGTCAGATGACTGACAGACTGAACCCTCAAACAGGGCAGTTACCAGATTGCCTTCCAGATTCTTCTACTTTGAGTATATTCATTGACAGTGTGAAAGATGGTTTAACACTTCCGTATTTTGTTAATTAATTGTCATTTGGATATTCGGGTCATGGAAAAATGAAATAAAAAAAGTTCAATCTGTCAATAATACTAAGGTCAGTTTTGGAAACAAGGCTGATTGAATTATACTTAGAATGGAACAGGAACAAACACAAAAATGGGGAATGATTCTGAGTATATTAATATGATAAACTCTCATTCTTAAAGTCTAGTGGAATATTTAACGAGTCCCATTGATGATGTCAGACGTTGCTGATGCTATTTGTATCATCATTCTAATGTACAAAATTTATCGACAAACAACTTTCAAATTACTTCGAAAAATTAAATTAAATTACTCATTATTGACACAACTAAAGCTATAATAAAGATACGTGCAAACATTTAGGAGGATAACCTCTAAATTTTGTAAATAAATGCTGAATAGGGTTAATTCTTAGGAATAACAAGTCTCTTGTTGCTGAATTTACGGTACTTAACATTGGATACAAGTGAGTCAGTGAATGATGATTTTGCAATATGATTGACAATAGACAAAAATGCTTGTTGTTAATATTGAAACATTAATTGAGCAATATGATTATTTTGCAATATCATTGACAGAGTAGACAACAATGCTTGTTGTTAATATTAAAACATTTCCACAATTCCTCATGTCTCTATCTGTATATATATTTATTTATACACCTGACATATTACCAGAAAAATCTGGTCGTGCACATATATCACTTAGCTCACCTGTTTATAGTTTATTTATATGAGCTGTTACATTACAGCATGCTAGTGGTGGGGATATCTGACACGTTATGGTCAATGGGTCGACTCTGATGTATACACAAACACAACCAGTAATTGGTGAATACACCTCTTGGTATGTAGATATGTGTATTCGCTAAAAGGAAATGCACAGAGGGCAAACACGCATGGTGTAATGGTTATGACAGGAGATACAAACATTCGTTTGGATGTCGACACTGGTTCCCCCTTTTCGTTGACAGTCGAGATGTAATACATAGCTATGTATATATATATATACGCATTTGTTATAAACATATGAATATAGATTTATATTTTTGCTCATATTATGCACCTTTAAATATAAATAAAGAACACATTTTCTGCATTACGTCCTATTTCCTTTGTAATTAGAATACTGAAAATGTTGGGTCAATGTTCGTATTCATTATTATCATTGTATGGTAAATAGATCCTTAACATCGTGATCAATATAAATTATACCGTGTTTGATTATTTAAGTTGAGTTAATGTACATGCATATGCATTTTGATCAAATCAAACTTCGATTACTACCAAGTGCGACTTCCTTTGACAAAGCAAAACTGCAAGGTCAGAGAAACAGTCACAATAAGGATATTTTCTATCTTCTTTCTTTTTCTTTTTTTTGGTAATAAACTTAGTTAGAGTGTAATAGATTAAATATGATTTCCTGTAAAATATATCATCATTAAACCTTATTAGAATTATTAATTCTAGAATTTGAATCATACCACCCACCCCTGTATTTCCTCAATTGATACCATGTAATTGATAACAGCACCTGTTCCTGAATAATAATGATCACTGAATAATTACATGCTGATGTATTACTCAGAGACAGCGAGGGGGAGAAGGCCCAGAAATAGAAGTATGAGATTAGATGTTGGATAAAAGTAGAAGTAATGATAAAGCAATACACATATTCAAAATTTGTTAATAATTTAAAATAGTTAAGCTTTAAAGAGAATAAGCTTCATAATTAAATTTAAAAAAAAATAACAGAAATAACTTTAGTTTTACTGATATTGTTGTACCTTAAAATGACAACCTATCACAGGAATTTATTTTAAAATTCAAATTTAATTAAATTGACCGTTTTGAAAGGTGTTCTCTAAAATATTTGTTTCCCTTAGCGTTGTCTAATTCAACAAACAATATTCCCTAAAGGATTATATTAAACCGATAAAGGCAATATACGTAGCAAGATAATGTGTTTCCTTGTGTTATACTTTTCTTGTGATATATTTTTTTATGAAATGCTTTTTTAAATGATTAGGTGAATAATAAAATAACATATCGAAACATACTCAAACTTTCTTTTGTTTCATTTCATGTTAATGAAACTCACTAAAGCACGCTCATTCCATCAACTGTAATCAAATTAAAACGCATTTAAAATACATAGATATAAAATGTTTAAGGAAGGCAACACATTTATCTAAAATAACTCTTTCTACATACTTTATACGCATTTTTAAGATCTCTAGAAATGTAGGCGTATTTTGCAGCACATGACGTAGTGTTTCCTGTCAATTTCCGAAATAAATGTCGGCCATGCATGATAGTATCAGACACTGTGGTAGCAATAATGGAAATCGGTTAAAGTGTGGCAAGTGTTTATTCGTGAAATCTAATGAACAGGCGTTTTCAGGTGTTGAGAAGTTTCGCTATGGTTTTTGACAAAGTCTTTAGTGTTATTCAATGCGATATGTACGAACTGCTATACAGTTCGTTAATTACGTCACACTGTATCATAAACAGTTCCGTTAATGATAATATTGCATGCTGCTGCTAAACAATAAGTTTTATAGTGCACGTGCTTCGCATTGATATGCTGTGTACTTGGTTCCTGTTGCTGTATTGGGGTTTCATTTAGAAGTTCCATTTTTATTCCTGAGAGTTAACGCCGCGTTTTGTTCCTCCCGTCCATTTTTAATACATACATTTTGGTAAAACTATTTGCAAAATTCATGTTAGATGACTTGTCCGTTTATCAATTGACTTCCTTTAATAAGAGTATGAAAATTCCTTGTATGTTATTTTTTTATGAAGATTATAGAAAGTCTTTAGGTATGTTCTATGTTAATAAGTCTTATACAGCAAGAATAGGTCTGTTCTATGTTAATAAGTCTTATACAGCAAGAATAAGTCTGTTATATATTAAGAAGTATTATACAGCAATAATAATGTATGTTCTATGTTAATAAGTCTTATACAGCAATAATAAGTCTGTTCTATGATAATAAGTCTTATACAGCAAGAATCAGTCTGTTCTATGTTAATAAGTCTTATACAGCAAGAATAGGTCTGTTCTATGTTAATAAGTCTTATACAGCAAGAATAAGTCTGTTCTATGCACGATACATTCACAGTTTGAGAACATTTCGGCTAACGAGATAGTGGATATTACAAATGAATTAGATTAATTATACAAATAATCATGTTATTACTTTACCAACTGAAAGCTCGGAGAAAGAGCAACTAAGTTTGAATACTCACCTGTAACAAATGCAGCTTCTATTGACTTTCTTGAATAAATGCAGATATTATTCCAAAAGACGTTTTACACAAATGTTTTCTGTCGAAGTGAACGTTACTCTACATGGAAATGATTGTGAATAGTGGCGTTTATCTGACATACGTTTCGGAAATTCGGCAGATATAATATTGACCAACCAGAGTTGGACACGGGCTAGCAATCGGTCGAGCGAAACGTTCAAAGGAGCGGAGAATATCTGTGATAAATGACAGGTAATAAAGGTCTGGACAGGTACATTATATCTTGCCCATATACCACTAATAGTATCAAGCGCGGACCAGGGATATTATTACAACAAGCAAATTGCATGACTTTAATAGTTTTTTTAAGTCCCATCCACTTATATCATCTGGTGTTTTGTATTTGGATTTGACAGTAACAGGTTTTTCTGCTTCATACCATTGGCAGGTTCATGATATATACTGTGTGAATGTCTTATGCACTGTATATATATATATATATATGGGTCAAAGAAGTGTTATATATATATATTGTTGGCGAATGTATGCCACTGTTCCAGCTGACCCCTCAGTGGATATTTTATGAAACAAACCGGAAATTGCAACATATTTTAAAAACAATTAGCGACACCTATTTTTGTTGATCATTAAGACATTTAACTAAAAAATGCCACCTTTATTATATTTACAATATCAACATTCATGAAGAGGAACACAAAATAAAACCCAACAGAAAGACATTGCTCTAATGCTTCGTTCTGAACCTTGAACATTGATTTTGCAAATTTAATTAACATCATAATAGTTGCAATTAGGCGACGTAATAGTGTTTGACATAAAATACTAAATGCTGATTGGAATATGCATTTGTATTTGAAATATAAGAAGGTTTTGTGTCCCTAATTGTTATTCAAAATTACCTTACTTCATCTGAATTGTATCAAAAGATAAGTTGATAAATTGGCTATAGAGCATCAACACTTAAAATAGGTAAGCAATCCACCTATAAAACATTTGTTTTTATAAAAATTGGCTTCTATTGTCAGCTTACCATGTTTTCTGCTGCAACAGAAGTCTCAAACAGATTGCAAAAAATTAGTTTGAGATTTCTGAAATAACGTCACTTTAAAAAGGTAAACCACATTGATTTAGTCTAAATTAGTATAGATAGTGGGGGTGCGGAGTTTGCTTTCAGGGGAATATGTCTTCATAAGTGAAATTTTCAGTGTATATAAGGGATATAATCAATATTCATAATAAGCCATGCATAATGTCTATATTTTGTAAATTAGCATGGAAGATTCAACATGGGTTAGAATATCCCTATTCATTAAACCTATTTATGAAAACTCTGTTGGTAACACTTCATCGTTACAAAATCTAATCAATGCTCAATCATTTATGTTCACATGTCAATAGCCAAATAATCAATTTAATTATTTTGAAATTGTTGAAAACCACCAATCTGTTTTTGAAATTATTAAAAACAAACGATCGACATTTACGCTCTTAAGCGTGTTATCCAATTCGCTGTAGAGGGGATGGTATCTTCCCAATATAGTGCCATTTTACAAACAAATGACCTCCGTTTCTAATTTATTCCCGAACTTAGTCACCTTAACTAATCTACACTTTATAGGTTAGGCATTGTTTTAAATATAACCCCACATGTTTCCATTAAAGTACAACCTCAATAGCCTATATCGATCAAATTGATGCTAATTTTGAAATTTCCTGTTGCATGAGTTTAATTTTTCATCAATCATCATAAATGATCCAACTGATTTTTTGTGGTATATTCAAATCACGTAGGTAGAGTGGGCGATTTGTTACATACTGAAGGCAAGTAGCGTACAGTAACCACTAGTCCGGAAAGAATACAAACCTATAGGAAAAGGGACAATATGACATCAAAAGTAGAGATTTATTCATTAGCGAGCATTGTTAACGGTGTTTTGCATGTAATGGTTAATATTGAATTTATATCATGTGAAATACTGTTTGATACATCATATCTAATCCAGTAAATGTTTGGTAAAGCTAACAATACGTATGCCAATGAAGTATATTTGTAGGTATATGTGACGTGACCTGGTCACGAGGTAAGGCATCACATGGATCCTGTACGTATTGACAGGATTTATGACCGTATTCATCGCACACCTATTGTACCTAAATACAGAACAGCAGGATCGTCTTAGACATGTAGATGTACAAGATTATTTCATTTTAGGTAAACGATGACCCAGATGTAATATGATTGGCACGGAAATATAGAGCAAAGGAACGGTTCTTGAATGTAAGGTTCCTCCATCGAATGCGAACGTGTATGTATGAATTAGTTCCCAAAACGTCGTGTTAATCATAACAGTATACGAACATTCGCAGGGCATTGCCACTCTAAGGAAATGGCAAACATAGTGCTATAAAACCTATTGCCAGAATTTGACGTCATAGTAACAATGAGGTTACAATAAAAATGATATAGCACTTGAATATGCCTAACCTTTCATTTGATTGTAATTGAATTTTCTCGTCTAACATTATATATTGTTGTTTCAATTTGTTTTAAGTCACTTTCTAAAATGGGATGACTGACTGCCCACTGTATACTTTTTATTCTCCCTAAAAAATATTTTGACTTTTTTTCTCTTACAATAATCACTATTTCATTCCGTTTCTGTTATCATGGCAAAACATATCAAAGATACCGTAGCGAAACACAATGCTTCACATAAGTATTGATGTGCATGTGTAAATGTGTAAGAGGCAAGATGTATTGCAATATGAGAGTATCGCTGCAGCTCCTGTTTATCTCAGATATATGGGACTTCAAGGTTTTTTTTACTATTTATTATTCCGTATGTGTTAAGAACTGTTTCGAAGTGCCCTCTGATTGGCTAAAACAGTTACAGATTAAATTAAGTTCCTTTACTCATTCCCTTTAATTGCAACCAGGAAACAATGAAATGCCTGCATGTAATTGTATCAAAAACGCATTCAATTACTGAGCTAAAATATTCACATCACTTTCCTTCACTTGAGGACGAACGGTTAAATATACAAACAACTTTACACACAAAGATAAATTTTATTTTGGTTCCAACAAAGACATTAAAACTTTTACAGTACAAAAATGGCAACATATGAATAAATAATTGTTTTGTGCTTTGCCAAACATGCTTATAGTGAAAAGAATCAACGCCTTTCCACAATATGCATAATTACAGTGTGATAAATTGATCAATATATGTAAAATGAGCAGTCTACTTCAGTATTGCCTATATCACCTTTCCCAGATGACGTATGGAGTGCCGTGTCTCTACAAGAAATTATATAGTGTAATAATTTCTGTCGTGCTGTTCCACCTGATGATTATAACAATACATTATGATCATATATGTTCATATTTATCTATAATAATCATTTCAAATACAATATAAGAAGGAGATTTTTAAATGATTTAGTTAGCATATTTCAAATATTCAACATGTCACATTCTGATAGGGCATGCATACATGTGACGTCATATTAGACGTTATTAAACGACGTGACAATTCCCATGGAAGGATTTAAAGTTTAGGGTTAAACATGTCATCTTTGATGCTATGACGTATGTCATACACATTTTAAACACATTGTTTTATATAGTGGATATGGTATTTAAATATAAAATAACTAAATGGATTTGATACCCATCATATCATATTAAGTATGAACTTTAGGAAATTATCGATGTATGTAAACTATAGTTCATCTTTGTTTCACATAATTTTGAAATGTTTCCTTAACATTGTACTAATATTCATCATGCCACTCTCTGATTCGCCATGTTGACATGTGTCGTCATGCCTCTCATTAAATAGACAAAAAATATTTGTGGGGTAAAGCAATATATTTGACAATAATGTGAAAAGTTTATAAAGCCTCAAATGTAAATGTCTTTCACATTTTTGACGTATAGAAACATTTACTCTCAGGAAAATGCAATTTTGTCATGATTACGATTTTGCTATACTCTGATATATAGACAAAAGAGCTGGTATATTCAATAGCTGAAGCAATTTTACCCATGTGGATGTATAATAAAATGACTTTTTCGATACAAAAAAAAATCAATATTGATTAAATTAAATGATTAACTGAAATGACAATGTTAATGATGATAATGATAATCGTGATAATTGTAATGATATAAATAAACATTGTTTAACAACATCAAATTGTCTGTAGGATATCTTTTTGATCTAACAGATCCTTGCTGTATAATTCAAAAATGTTTTTTCAACATCTTGTGTTTGAATGAATTTTACATAGAAATCTGTAGCAAATATTTCTGTGTTAATTTTCGCTCTTGGAAATATTTCTATCCATTTACCTTTCTGCCGCGTGAGTTTGCATGGTCACATGGGGGTTAAACATCTTATGGATGAAGTGATCTAGAGGTAGGATGAGTAATTTACACCGGGATGCAATATTTTGCTTTCTAAGAAACGCTATTTAAATTATATTACACAAGTAACTTTGTTACAAAGTAAAATATCATTTCAAGACAATGTACCGTATATTTCTGTTAACTAACGCGGTTACTATCTCAACACCTCTCTGTTTGTAAGATGGGTTAGATAAATGGAATCCGTTTCACGTGTATGATCATATTTCTTTCACGTCTGGCAGGTGTTACTGCCATTCATCTCCTCGTTTATTAGGAAACAACTCGTTGTGCACAATGCATTCCGGACTTTCATTAATACCATGTTACATCATGTCTACCTATGGGTCAAGGAATATATGTTGTATTCAAAGTATCACCTTGTCATATTTCCCTATTTCACCATCAACGGTAAGACATACACACACATCACGTCTATGTACCAGCTTTACCGAGTTTTTTTTATATCTTCCATTGTTTCTCTGTAGTATGGGTTTGAGCAGGAAATAATTTCCCGGAGCTTGGTAGTCACGCAAGTTTTTCAGAAAAAGAATTATTTCCTGGCGAAGAGATAGGTATTTTTAAGATCTTCTGGTATGCATCCGTTGTATATTGATACCTGGAAATATTGAAAAATATATGGTTTCATTTCTTAAGTTTACTTGAACTCTATATGGAGAAAATATAAAAAAATTAGTTAGTAACATTTTCACTTGGATCAATAAATATTTTATGTGGAATACTAATATATTATGGGTTCATTGAAAACTAACAGTTTAAAGATCCCTGTCCCTCTGCAGAAATACTGTTAATTTGCATTAAAAACTGTTACAGTACCCATGTCAAAAAGGGAGGCCACTGTATATACTCCCGAAAACCCATGACGGTTCTCTATTTGTTTTGCCTGCAGAGGAACGAGGATCCTTTATGCATAATATATATACATGTTTTCGATAGAGTAATTATTTGAATAATAGTTTTACTTCATTTATTTTTAAAATATAAGACCACAAGAAAATGTAATTAGTTATGCAGCTTACATCATCGACAAACCCGAGCAAGCCTTCCGTTTTCTTAGCTGAGCACCCTCCTATCACAAGGGGCGGATGCTTACTTGGGATTTCACCTTATAAAAAGAAAACAATTACTTACAAAACAATCAACTTTGCGAAGTTTTGTCGACGAATTCGTTTGGTAAAAAATAGGTAAAATCGTAATGAGTTTAATTGTTGGAACTGATTTATACATTATACATGTATAAGTATAGTTTGAGAATATGGCTGGTAATTGTAAAACAGAGTAATAAAAAACAGAGAGTTTACTAGCACAGAACAAGCACAAATTAACATGTAATATGTTGCTTCTCTTTCCAGGCAATATACAACACTGTCACGTTAATCTCAAGCTGGCATGTGACAAAACTGCAGGAAAAAATATTTACAAATTATGGTGACACTTTTCTAAACTTGTATGGCAGTGAACTTTGAAAGATATCCAGTTATGTCACTTACAGTTGCGGTTTTCGCCGACAACTTTTTGGATTTCTCGGGTTGTGATGTTAAGATATAAACTACGTCATACAACTGTACATTGAAGTAACAAACAAATATACTCGGTGTCCAGTACCATTTAAATTATTAAAAATATTGAAGAGCTAGAGTAAATAATATAACTTCTAGCATAATTAGTATTCTATTTAGAATACAACCAGCATTGTCATAGATCGGAACGAAATATTCAGATAATTACTATCTGTGCTGGCTTGTAATTTAAATTTCAGATAAAACAACAGGATATACTCCAATACTTGACACGTATTTTTATAATTAAAATGTAGTATTTTTATCGTAATAATCCAAGTCTTATCGCAACCCCTGCCCACCATTGTATTTCCCCTATACACACTCGTACAAGTTTTATCCACGTATTACGTGCAACATTAAAACCTAAAATGGACATACCTTGGATGAACATCAGTTCATATGCATCGTCCACAGCGGCAACAAAACTTCCTCCATCATAGATCAAAGTCACATTGTTCCATTGGAGAGGCTGTTGATGAACATAAATCAGATGCGTTAGACTTAATACTTTAATGCTAAATAAGTGAATTTAATTAATAATTTTATTCGTATTTGAAAAGCAAATTAAACAAACACTACATGTAATGGGGGACAATTACAGAAGTCCCCAAATCTGCTCGCAGAGCCGCAAAGATGCAAAAATACACCTGCATACCAAATGTAAGCAAACGCAACCAATATCTAGTTTCGACAAATCAGAGGCCGTAGAAGAAACAGAGTAAAACCAAGAAGTCCCCCATTTGTTTGGGGGATTTAATAAGAAAAAATCCCATTAGAATAAAGTAAGGCCAGGTGGTGTGATTCAATCTGATTCTGAATATCTCGTGTTTGCTTTATCGATTTCAAATTGCACGTTATTTGAAAACAGCGATATTATACGACAACATGTTTATGTATCAGTATACTTTATAATCTATATCTCTTCAAAAAAAGAAATATATACATCATTTTTTGTCGTAGTTAATATGTTATGAATAATAGAAGAACTGTGCAGTCTGAACTTACATTGTACGCTAGAGATATTTTATTCCCTGGACTGTGGGTAGTTTCAATTTTAAAGTCGATGACACTCTTCCATGTATCTAGTGTAATATCGATTGCAGCGATTCCGGTTAGCTGATCACAATTAGATAATAATGTCTGCATCCGGGAGGTGTAGCGATACGACAGAAATCGGAAGGTAATAGCTATAGAGGATCCTATGTTCTGGTTGGAATACTTCCAGAGCGTGATTGTACTGTCTTTGTTGAACTTGGCGATGCCCTGGTCGTCTGTCCAGACATTGTTCTGGTACAGTGTGTTACCACGACCGGACTTGTCCATGAACGCTGTTGACATGAGGCCTTCGAAATCCAGGTACATATCCTTTGCGCACACTTTAAATTAAAGAAAATACACGTTTTGATATGTGAAGAGTGGTGTGTTCAGAAATAGAGCATAACAACTATATGTTACAGGCAGATAATACAATTATAAAGTAGATCTACCTCTTGAAATGGGCGCCGCTTGACTCGTGATGCAAGTGCATTCCTCCTGATCAAACCGCGTGCCCGGAGCACATGGTAGAGAGTGTGAACCTCGCATGTACTTGAAAGGATCGGTTGGATGGTTCATCAAGGTACACACTGAAAAAAACATTTTTTATATATATATAGAGAGAGATATGACTGGCCAAGAAGGATAAATTACTTCTGTTAAAAGGTAATATTTTGTCATTTTTTTCTTTTTTCTTTTTTTGTTAAATATGATTTTTTTGTATTGACTGGTTTTGTATGTTACAATATCTTCGTACGTTAAGTATCGTGTTTTCAGAAATTGTTCATTGTGTGAATATCTATATCACATCTATGCAATAATGCACGTGTAAAATAGTAAACACGAAAGCCAAAACAATGCAATTATGTCAAGCTTATAAAACTGTATACAGTAAAACCTCGATATAATGTCTCTCGTTTCATTTGCCACCTCATATACCGCCATCATATTTCAAGGCCCCTCCCCTCCCTTTCTAACGGATTCCTTCATATGTTTCCTTCAATTTATTGCCAAGCCCTTTTATAACGCCGAAATGTCTCTGAACGAATGGTGGTAGTATAGCGGGGTGTTAATTTAATACAAAGGGTGAAAAAAACAAGGAAATACAAAGTCTAAATGAAGCAAGAACTACATGTAACAGGGTTTATTTATTTGCAATTCTGGTGCTGACCTTTAGGTTTGTTTGCATTAATTAGTGTAAGGTTAGCCCTCTCCTCCTTGGACATACAGTGTCCGTCGTCCTGGCAGTCAGGCATTGGTATACATCCGTACGTGCCGTCCTGAAGTCCGTAGCCGTACCCCTTGGCACAGCATCGAGCGCTGGAGTAGCTGCGCTTACAACTCCAGTACGCCCGACATTTGCCTATGTACGTGTGGTTTGACACGCCACGGTTTAAACAAGGGTCTGCAAAAATAGCACATTATTGTATTGCTGTATTATATTAAACAAATTTCAATCAAAACTATTATCTAAAAATCATTTTGGTAAATTGTGAAGTTTGTGTATTTTATGATAAAAATATATCCTTCGGCATCGATTAAAAAAATACTACGTAGTGTCAACTTGTTTTTAGTGCATTCATCCAATAGATTTCTGATAACATTACTTCATTCAAATTTTAAAAACCCTTTACGACAAGTAGCCGGATACTTTTGATGTTTTGTATTATATTATTTTTAATGCACCTACCGAATTCGCATTTAACACGGAGAGGTCGTTCGCAAGTGAGATTGCCTTGGTGCCAGAAGAGACCATGAGAACATTCTTTTTCAAACGCTCGCACCTCTCTGTCATGTTTGGAGCATTCTATGAATCGGTTACAGTTTCCAGGTAACTCAAGCCGACAATAGCCGTTGATGAAGTTGCAGTCTCGGCAGATTTCTGTATTGAAAATAGTATGTTAATTATACACGTACCCATATTTGCGTTGCGTGCAGAATATATCATCTATCAATGCTTGTGAGGAAAGGATAGATACAATTTGGCAAAATGAATAACGTAAGTGTAGAGCCAATCCGCTTTTATTATCCTCTGTTTATTTTAACATATCGCTGGATGTATCTGACTTACCTGCAGCATTGGTGAACTCCCTTAGTTTTGCCTGATTGTCTGCTGGCTGCGCTTTACTGGTCAATAGAGGTTCGGTGTTTGGCACAACAGATGATGGGTTTGGCTGATTTGGCATTTGGTTTAACCTCTTCGAACTGGTGGCTGCATTAGAAGCTATAAATGGACTGGAGGTACTTGCCTGTGTGCTAGATCCTTGAAGATCGATAAGTGGATTTGTGGAAGACTCGACAACTGGAACTGTAGTAGTAACATATTCGTTCATAGTAGCTACAGGAACTGTTGTTGTTGTTGTTTCCGTAGGGATATTTATAGTATCAGTGGTAAAGCTAACATCTCCAGGAGAGCTATCTGGTAATGTTGTAGCAGTTGCGTAATCTGATAGAGGATCTACGCTAGACGGTAATGTGTCTATCGTCGTTGTTTCGGGAAACATTGTTGTTGTTAGTGCCTCTTCTGTTGTTGTAACTAATGCATAGATTTCTGGTAACGTTTCTGTCTTTAAACTTTCCAGGGGATAGGTGTTTTGGAAGGGGTTTACATTATTTTCTGCAGCAGGTAAAAAACTCTTTGGAACTGATGGCAATACGAAAGGCTTGTGAATACCTGATGGGTTCTTTTTAACAGCTGGATGATTAAAGAATGTGTTGTCCCAGCCAGGGTCGCCATTCATAGCAGAGAGTCTATCCTCTATTAATCTAGGTGAACGCTTGGTTGTAATGACACTTTCACCTGTTCCTGACCTCCCAAATGAAGCACCCGTTATCTTAGCAAATATTTCAGAGGCGTCATAACCTATCCTTCCAGGTGGTGGGGGAGGAGGTGGTATGTTTGAAAAAGGCAGGTTTCTTGGAGGAGGAGGTTGCTCAAACTTGGATGGATTAAACAACGAAGCTTCCGTTTTCGATGGAGGAGGAGGTGGTTGCTGGATATCAGAGGTAGACGATTGTCGTCGGTTATCAAAAATGTTTCTCCCTAGGTTTGATGACGGCTTTGGTTTAAAAATAAAGGGAGGATCTCTAGTTGGTGGTTTGTTTTGTTGCATTCCGGAAGATCTAGAATTCTGAGAAGTCTTCGAACTGGCAATGGGTAGTTGTGCGCTCCGCCAGGTATTAGCTAAATTCTTTGAGGGCATCGATGAACGGCTTGATGTCCCAAACTCAACAAGTGCAGGATCCGTCCTGTCCCATGATGGGACACCAGGACGTCTAGCTGAAAATGGATTGCTATTTACATTCATCGGATGATTTTGAACCGCAGTGTCAGCGTTCAATGGTACCCCGGGTACTACTGGGGGACTTCTGTTTCTTCCAGTTGAAGTTGTACTTCCACCAGACGAAACCCTATCTGCTGTATTGGCTGGTTTTTCTTTAATGTTAAAAGTATCTAAATCTCCTAACCCAACGAAAGGTATTCCTATACGCGACGCCGCCTGACCACCTGTCTTATCTATTGTATTAGATGAGGATATGGAGGACATAGCCGACGTATCAATGATTCGGCCACCAGCAGAATCGCTCAGGAATGGTGTTGTATCCAGCCAGCTCGAAAGCGCAGGTCCTTCGTTGACCACACTACTAACCACTCTCTGGGCGGAGGCCGTTTTAGAGGACGTGGACCTGCCTGACGATCCTGGCACCTGATAAGGCCAAGCGAATGGTTGCTTTCCAGTATTGATTGTACCGATGTTTACATTTGAGGATTGAGTTTTTCTGTTTGCAGAATTGGTATTTGTGTTTACAAAATTTGTATTCGTGTTTGCAAAATTTGTATGTGTGTTTGCAAAATTGTTATTTGTGTTCGCAAAATTGTTATTTGTGCTTGCAAAATTGTTATTTGTGTTTGCAAAATTGTTATTTGTGTTTGCAAAATTGTTATTTGTGTTTGCAAAATTATTATTTGTGTTTGCAAAATTGTTGTTTGTGTTTGCAGAATTGGTATTTGTGTTTACCGTATTCGTAGATCCAATCTTTGATCTTTCTGGTTCTCTTGTGCCTATTTGTCCAAACAATTTGATGAAGGTGGAATCTCTATTTATGGACTTATCTAGTTGAGGGGGAGGGGGAGGGGGAGGAGCGACTCCACCGGGCACTACTCTACTAACCTCAACTATTCGTGTAGGTGTGGCAGGGTCACGATTTAGTGAAGGCGGGGGATTGAATGGACGCACGGTTTCAGCAGGTTGTTCAATTATGTTTTCAGAAGTTTTATGTGCATTAGAATTGGCGAGGTTCACATTGTTACCGTTACTATTAGCCGTATTTTCTCTTAGTCGAGGTGAACTAAATATATCATTATCACTAGGAAATTGGTTAGTATTTTCCCTCGGACTCAAACCGCTATTTGGAAAATTAATTTGATTTCCTGCATTCTGCGTTAATGATGAAAACTCCTTAGATGGATTAAAAAAGCTGAGACCGCCAACGGCAGGGACGCCTGCATTAAATGAACTAAATAAAGCTCGTAATCTTGCGATTCTATGTTTTCTCAATTCTTCAAAAGCGTCTTGCCTGTTTTGTTTGCTTTGAATTTCTGGATTCGCAGGAGGAAATGCAAAATTTGGGAGTCTCTTAAGCTCAAACTGTTCTTGGTCATTGAATAATCGATCGAAGGCTTTGGTTGCTGCAGCTGGTGGAGGAGGTGGAGGAGGTGGTGGGGGTTGGGTAACAGGTTTAGGGGTAGTGGCGGGTAAAATGGAGGGCTCACATGGTGGCTCAGTACATAAGTCAAATGTAGGATTTTCGGGGCCAAAGGGCTCCTCCCCGAAAGGATCACCACTGTCGGTACCATCGCCGAATGGATTGCCAAAAGGATCTTCGAACGGGTCAACACCCCCGCTTGGTGGGTTGTCGAAGGTGGCCTGACCTGTATTGTCCCCAAAGCCCTCATTGACCGTGTCTGTGTCTGTACCTGGAGTGCCCGTCCCAGTGTCTGTACTGGAAGTGCCCGTCCCAGTGTCTGCACTGAAAGTGCCCGTCCCAGTGTCTGCATTGAAAGTGCCCGTGCCGGTGTCTGCATTGAAAGTGCCCGTGCCGGTGTCTGTGCCAGAAGTGCCCGTGCCAGTGTCACTACTGGAAGTAGTATTTGAGTCAACAAGAAACGTTGAGTTTATGATCCCTCCAATAACGATGTCTGTGTCATTGTTTGTTGTCACATTCACGGAAAACAAATCATCACCGTTAACTGCTGTCATATTTTCTGACGTCATATTTTCTAACATGGTCATTTTTCCTGACAAAGTCATATTTCCTGACATAGTCATGTTGTTGAACTTAGTCATATCATCCGACATGGTTGAATTGTTAACCGAACTCGTTACATTAAAGTCAGAAGTTGTCATATTGCCATCTGATGTAGTTATGTTACTTTCCGATATTGTTGCATTATTGTCGGAAATAGCTGCATTACTATTTGAAAGTGTGGTAATATTATCCACGAATGTACTGTTTTCTGATGCCGTCGAGTTAACATCCGATAAGGTTAAAGTAGAATTGTCAGATAGCGTTGTATTTCCGTCTAATGATACAGAACCAGAAGTGGTGTTAACAAGGCTAGAATTCGTGTTAAGGTCGTCTGTTATAGTTATAGCGTTCCCGGTACCCGCCGTAACGTTGGTCGCCGTGCTGTTGTCTAAATCTGTAGTGTTCATAGGAATAGCACTGTTGCTATCGACAATCTCTTCACCAGTCGTCACGTTACTCGAGGTAGCATTTGACGCCATCATGTTAGATGCATAATCGACACCGGGAATTTTCTCTGTATCGACAGGCCCTGCAGCTTCTGAAATAATGTAGAAAATCAAGATTATTATCACAGAAAATGTATCTGAAAATTTAACATTTTCCTGATTCAGGAAAGTGTCAGCAAATCACTTCATAACTTCAGATTTTGATACTATCAAGAACTTTTATATCGTAGATACCCATAAGTCATACGGCCAAGTATCAAGTATGACGTATGTCAGGATTGGCTCTTGTACAATTGAATGGGTCTTACCAATATTTGTAATACCGACTTCGAGACCCAACTTACAAAGATACAGATAAGTATGGCAGATTATACTTATATTTTTCACTTGTGTTTTTACTCGTGAAATATAGTTGCTATTCAGTTGGAGATCATTAAATATCCTCTATGTATCGACCCCCAATTGGTAAGCAATGGTATACATGCCAAACGTTCACGTCTGTTAATTCCTTATGACAGCAGTATTGATATAGATAACATGAACGGTTTTGGAGAAGGGTTTTTATAAGAATGCGTAAGATTGCCCGTTGAAAGGTGGCGGGGGCGTACCATCCAGTCAGTGGGTGAATAAGTCAGATACTGATGGGTATGATCGTGACAAGACCCATCTGTTATAACACAAGATGATCGATAGAAAATATGGACAAATCTAATTTTAATATGACTGAAACAATAATTAGATGCAAAGCATTTGTGTCAATCTGTTGAAGCGTTCATAATGTCATCATTACCATTTCCCTTCCATTGTTATACCTTGTAAGTATTATAGATTGATGCTTATTAGTGTCTGTATACTGATTACTTATGTTGTTGAAATTATGAATGAAAATAAATAATCGTTTTATTATACAGAAATACTTTTACTATGGAACAATGTGTCATTAACAAATATTCAATGCATACAGTGTTTTCTTATATGCAATGCTTCGTAGGGTCTTTCTCTGTTAATATGTAGTATTTTAATATGAATGTTAAATATAACTGTAACCCAATAGAATTATCATAGTATTATACTGGTGTAAAATAAGAAGAACAATGTTTGAAATGAAATGAATAATGCTACAATTGCATTTGATAATGCTATTATGTATCTTATATGTACGTGTCGTTGGCATGACAAATCTATTGTCTTACAGAATGCACATATCTTAGAGACAGCAATATTTTCGGCGAAACACCGATCAAAAGGACAAAAATGAGAACACCCAGTGTGGGCGTCGTCAGATGTTTTAGAAGAGTATACATCGTACAATACAGTATTAAAATCTCTTATAGAAATGTTTAAAAAAAACATACTTTAGGCGATAACAATATAAGGTAATCCTCTCTTTTTCCTGTTAGTTATCGATTCATCGGTAAAGTAAAACCTCGATTTACAGCCACCATTTGTTCAGATACAGGATTTATAAAAGGGAAAACGAGAAAAGGAAACCTTGAAATATGTTTGGAGTAAGGGAGGTGGCAAATATAACAAGGGGCTTTATATTAAGGATATTGTGTAGATAGATATACACAGTTATACATATATTACAGATACTTTTATAGTTTTATTGGACATTTCCATGATCAGAAGACACAGGTTTTTGGCTACATGCAGCAACAAAAGGAACAATATGCACAAAGGTAAACAAAACAACGTGGAAGGGGAGGGGTCCAGATACCACGGCTGGAAGTACCTACTGGCCTAATGATTATAGGTTCCCTTCCCTACAGTGGTTTACATTTTGTGGTGTTCCCTTCCCTACAGAGGGCGACATTTTGTGGTGTTCCCTTCCCTACAGAGGGTGACATTTTGTCGTGTTCTCTTTCCTACTGAGGGTGACATTTTGTGGTGTTCCCTTCCCTACTGAGGGTGACATTTTGTCGTGTCCTTGAGTAAGACACTTTACTTGAGTTTAATTGTGCTGTATTGCGGCATTTGTTGTATTACACACTATGTTTGCATTTATGGTGTTCAAAGCACTGTCTTCTTTTTAGATGAATATTTGTTTTTTTAGCCAGATAAAAACTAAATATTATTGAACACTTACAATGAATAAACGTATTTTAAAAACTAACGATGTCTTAAAATCAAGCAGTGCTAGACATATAAACCATTTGGTTTACATCTGTTTTATCAAATGTGTTGCTTTTCCTATTGGAGCATTCTATGTCGTTGTCAGTGTCCGTCTGTCAGAGAGAGGGAGATATGGTGTGGCGTATGTACAACCTATTCTTGATGGTTTTTCTTACAGGTAAACATGCCCGTATCCAGTATGTAAAGAAGATGTAAATATTTGTACATAACTGTCACTTGTGCATGTAAATACCTAAAGTTGACCGCGGAATGACGGAAGTAATCGACATTTGACCACGAGACGAAACTGGGCGGGAATGTTTAGAGACAGGGCTTTACAGATATACAGAAACACACAAGGCTGCACACACCTTGGTGATATATAGGCGATGTCACCGGGAATATGGTGAAGAGGTACCGAGTAGATTGTGGTCTAAGCGAAGCTCACTATTTGACTACATTTGGGAGGGTTTTATATTACAAATATAGACAAAAGATAAAAATTACGAATTACAAAAAACTTATTCTGTCATTCTTTTGAGAGAAAATGACATTTACATGTACAAAGAAATTAATCATATGAAGATATGTACAGTAGCGCCCATCATTTTTTAGCTAAACATGAAAATATTATGCGATAACACTACTGATGATTTGTGTGATACACAGTGTGACGTCATTACACCATATTCAGTATACACCGAAGACAGTATATTATTGAATAAAGGTTCTACAAAAGAGTGCCGTTATATCATATAGATTATAATTACACGTATTATTTATGATTTAATTACATGGAACTTGCAGTCATCACGAATACATAAATCTGAAAGTTCGGTGGAATATTGACAACATGTGTTCCAATACCCGATCATTGCAATCATTCCGTTCTATCTTATTTAGTCTGTATATCAACTGGCGTACTTCTAGGTACCCATGTCTAGCCTCATCTCATTATAATTTGTTTGATTTGAATGTCGTATTACCGTATTGGATTTGTGACATTTCAGTTTGATTACACTTTAATATGGTCTCTTGAATTGGCAATTAGTCAATATGCACGATTGTCCTAGTTTGTACCTGGCTCGGTTATAACCGGAAATGGGATGTAAAGCCCCATCAATCAATTAAACATGACTTTCATTGTCAACGTAAAGCTTTGACCTTAAGGCACAAATACAGACACTATACATGTTTAAGATACGTTCGTTTGTTCCCAAACATCACACTCGAAGGTTCTTTAAAATGAAATAACATACACATGTTTGCCAATTTGCTTATGTCTCACTAATCTTACGCCATATTTAGTATTGTGTGAATTAAGAGTAACTTGGAAGGGTAGGTTTAATAGGAGACGATAGTACAAGGACGTGCGTGCATTGTAAGAGTGCTATTTGAATTAAGTGTCACTAGGTACGCCTGTCCAGGTCTTACAAAACATACATGAATGGAGCTAAATTGTACATGTTCAGAAACATTAACTAACCTATTATAAATGCTGGGGATATTTTCATTGAACTTATGTTTAACCCTAGGCCTGTCAAATAAGCAATGAATAAATGTCCCTAACAAGAGGAGATGCTTTGGACATGATTCATATTACATCAATATCCTTCTATCAAAATGCGGTAAACAGATAATATAATCTGACTCCCGGTTTAACCAGTATGATCTGTGATAACACTCGTTTATGCGATATTTTTTTTTGTAAAATTGGCAGTTGCATTATCATTGAAGACAGGTAAATGAATCGGCGCTGTCAAAAATACATGATTACATTTTTATCAAACAACATATCGGAATGTCAATTTAACTGTCAATTCGATTTAATTTTTTGCTTAGACGACATTTCATGACCACACAAAATTGAACGAAAATTGTTCATGAACTTAACCGTTATTTGGATTTAATAAAGTTTCTGGTTTTGCGACAAATAAGGACTGCACGCTTCGATCAAAAGCTTGAATGATAATATTACCGAATGCATCAATTACGCAAATTTGGAAAAGAACAAATGCTTATGAATGAGTCATGCCTAATCAAAGTATTCAGATATTGAGTGTATGAATAACACTTTTGTTCCAGGGTATCCAAACTCTGAAGTATGACTGTGATATATGTCCAGTCGAGTGAATTATAGAGCAAATCTATAAAGCAAGCCTCGGGGCAAACCATACTTGAAAATTAACTCAATAGAATCTATGTCAATCGTTATCGCTCATCATGAGTTGGCTTTGTGTTTTACAAGATTAAAACAAATCCCAAAGAAATTAGGAAGAAATGGCAGGACCTTGAAGATATACTGATATTCAACCGTTTCCGGAATACGTGATATATCCAAGAAAAATATGTAGGTCACCAAAAAAAATGAATTACTTCGTTGTAGATTGGAGTATTACTGATACAGATATTGATTTCTTAAGAAAAGAATATTTTCTGTACATAACCCTTGTTTCTTACTAGTAAATTAGCATGTTACTAGTATATAACCCTGACTCTTCAGTGTAGTTTAACTTTTCCTTATAAAACAAATCCGACACCTTAAGAGTATATCCGAGTAATACCGGTACTTAACCCAGACATATGCGAGTACACTGGAGTATTACTGTTATAGACCACTAAAGTCTTTAGAGTTGATTGGATTATCACCAATATAAACCCCGACATTTTCAGAGTAGGTTGTATAACTATCGAAACAAAACCCTGACTGTATAGTTAAAATGTAAAAAGAACTGATATGCCACAAAAAGTTTGACATATAGATCAGGTGAAGAAGTTCTGAGGATGCGAATCAACGGTGACCTGGGATAACTCCATAAACAGAGGAGACACGTACATTATTACAAAGGAGGGAAAAGTTGACAATAAGAAATTTGTCATCACGTTTAACATTCCATTTGGCTTATTTAAAATCATGAAAAGTTCATCGTGAATGTGGTTTAAACTAGTACAAATGATATATTGTTTCCATAACCTACTGGCTATGTACCGCATTAAAAGTCATATAGTCATTGTATCACTTTATGTGACTTATAACTTCGTTGATATCTACTTCATACAACCCTAGATGGATCCCATTCCTTTCAGTCTGATGTATTAGCGTATACAGTGTTCGAAATACATCCTACATACTATTTGAAACTTATAGGGACATACGTTTGGTTTGCTAAGATGTGTAACGTACCATCGGAATTTTTATTTTACACATAATATATTAAACATAGTTGCTGAAGTTTAAAGAGGCAAAATTTACTCGTAAATAGTTTCTATTACAAATCATCAAAATAGCACAGGTTACCAAACCTACTACAAGATTTCACCTTAGAATGACGTCACATAGGTTTCGTCTGGTTATGACGTCACAGATGGCGTTAACACTTGTGACAGACTACACAATGCTAGTGTAATTAATTTCCTGTCTTTCGTTGATTTGTCTCCCTTTACCTCAGCAAGCGTATTTTAATGAAATAGCAATGAAATCGAATTTAATATGTAGGTTCTATGTACACAATATATAAAGGAATTTAAATAATATTTTATTGTAAATAATCGGTTGAGATTATCCTATAGGTCATCTTCCAAGTCATATAATTACTACAACCACCACCCATGCAAAATATCAGTGATATAGAAATAATGATCATATTTATTATGTTTAATTGTTTTAAAGAAAGCTGTACGACTACCTCATTATATTGGGAAAGTAAGAGAAGCTTAAATCTACTTTAGATCTGAATGTAGATGGAAATAATCTACATATAATGTAACAAATTCTTAAAGATCAATAATTTGTACAAAAAGAACATATTTTACCTATCACCAGAATCAGCAAAATCCATATGCCTATCGTTTCCTGATTAAACAAAGCTTTTCTTAAAGCCTTTCATTAAATAGATGTTGTGGTAATTTACAAGGAATTAATGAAAGTTTCACTTGTTTGTAACTGATGATTCAGGAATTATGGTATTTCGAAATGAGCTAAATTACAAAGAATACACTTACCGTCTTGGCCCAATGAAGGCGAGAATAAAATCCAAATGTACAGAAACGAAAGCAAAACAGGTAAAAGTTCAAATTTTGCCATTATTGTTGAATAAAGTCAGCTCTCATGAACATTCAACTAAAAGAAGAGCTCCGAAATGTTACGTTCCCTGTGATTGTTAAGTCATTCTGCCAGATGTAGGCCCCCCGTAATGGTAGATGACTTGACTAAGGAGCTAACTTCGTTCGCGTGTTCACCGGGATGATCTGTTGGTATTATATACCTTTCTGAAGCAAGTTCTCATTAATATTAACTATATACGTTTTTGCCTAATTAATATGCAAGCGCGCTGTCACGATTTAGAGTTTTAATGTAATAACCCCTGTCTCCGCCGTCAATGATGTCCCCACACCTGACACCCTCACCTAGCGCGCAAAGCCATTTAGAAACATTTAACATAGAAATATCATATAATTCTGAGATTTCATTCATCATCGGGAGTGTTCAGTAGTTACAAAATACACAACAACGTCATATAAAAAGCATTAGGGTTATTATGACTTCATGAGTTTTGATCACCACGACACGCGCAAATTATTATGTGTGGATATGGACACTGTACAGGCGGTATTACGACCAGACATGTACGAGCATCGTCACGTGACTTATTTAATGAGAGGCGTGAACGTTCTTTAATAGATTTTCGTCTGATTCATTTTATTTAGAAAATAATCAACATGTTTATAGAAACCATCCCTATACGAAAACAAACCGTTGGTAAACATGTAACTGACGTAATTGTCAATCAAACGTTTTGTTTTGTTATTTTATCAAAATCAGTCATTAATATGTCATTAAGTCCATGTGATATCATTAGACTTGTTTCCAGGTAAGATATGTAGCTACGTAAGGATTGAACGGCATTGTTTCAATTTCATACCAGTATGAACATTGAAAAATACCGTTCATTCCTTATATTTACATTCTAAATATTAAGTTATCATTCACCTTTAGATATTCCTTTACATTTTCCATCGGGGTTTTTCCGTTCAATAAAGAAAAAGCCCATATTTTTTCAAAGAGGTATGGCGGAAAACTGCCCATATTTCCCTAAGTCGGCATTTATGAAAACGGGAAAACAAATAAGGGAATAAAACATTTCGGGTATCAAAAATGCATACAAAAGATATAGAACCAATTGAATATGAATTTTTAAATTGCTGAGAAATAAGGTATTGCTAATATGATACTACAAATATAGCCATATACACTATATCTATGAAAGTGATGGGGTTTCCCGGACTTAAAAAAATACTTTCAACACTTTCCCATCTGAGGACCAACTTTTGAATAAACTTTTTGTAACCGTGATGTTATATGCAAAAACAAATCGTATTACGGAAAAGTGGTCCTCCTTTGGGAAAGTGCTCAAATAATGAAAAAACGGGTTGATCAAGTTTCTCTAAACTGCGACAGGTGTTTCTAGGGTTAAATCAGTTTGTAATTGCCAATATCTATATGTTCTATGTAGCCGAATGTGTAACGCAGTTTACTTGTGACTAAAAATTAAACGGTGCAGGTTCGAATCCTCCCTCAGGTTTTTTTCTTTTCTTTTTTAAATATTTAGGCATGTGATCATTTTCCTTTATAAAGCAATATTTTGTTTTTCAAATCGATGGAAAATTTTGTTTACATTTTAATAACATACCTATTAATTTATCAGTTTTGTTAGTAATAATTTTGTTACTATTTAGTGCGACATGCGGATTATCGCCCGAGACCGGATACTTTCTCAGAACTCATTCTGAATGCTACCGATTTACCGAACACAGGTAGTAGTGTTGAAAATTAAATCCGTTCAAAACTGTTTCGTATAGATTGCACGATCTTGTATTACATATAAGCGTATAATTTGTTATAAATCAATATAAAAAAACGTGAAATAAGCATTGTGTTGAGCCTTTATCGTTAAACGCATGTATTAATACCCATGGCCTTAAATTCGTCTGTTTACAATAATTTATTCTTAGACACAGGATTCCGATATAGCTACGTATACCTGTATAAAAATACCTGATGACGCGTCATTGGATGCGCGCACTAGCGTAACATAACTTTGGGGAAATAGGCATAGCAACCCGCCATACCTCTTTGTCATGAAATGTTTTGAAGAGGTAAAATCTAATGAAAAGCTATATTTTATTGTTGATACTGATGTAACCTGAATTCGTGTGACAGTATGTTGATAGTATATCGCTATGGGTGTAACAGTATGCTGGTCGGCTCCTGGGTAACAATGGGTGTTGTAACTATGAGTAAGACAATGTAATACTTGAATACTGTTATGATTGGAACATTATAATGGTGTTAATTGAGCATTATAAGTGTAGCTTTTTTAATATTCGAGTCGCTCAAAGAGTATGACAGTATGTTGTTGGTATAATGTTATGAGTGTAACATTATAATGTTGTTAAATGAGCATACTGGTTGTGATGTGTTTTTAATATTTGAGTCACTCAACAAGTATGACATTATGTTATTGGTATAATGTTATGATTGTAACATTATAATGTTGTTAAATGAGCATTCTGGTTGTGATATGTTTTTAGAATTTAAGTCACTCAACAAGTATGACATTATGTTGTTGGTATAATGTTGTGATTGTAATAATGTTGTAAATGAGCATTCTGGTTGTGATATGTTTTTAATATTTGAGTCACTCAAAGAGTATGACATGATGATGTTGATACTTGCGATAAGATTTACGTGTGACATTTTGTTGGTTACTAAATCTTATACGAGTAACTTCAGTCATAGAATAGTCAATTACAGATTTTATATAAGGTATCGATACAACTATTATTAATATACTGTAGTGATATTGCTGACTTGATTATGTCAGATGCTGCATTTCAAATCCTTCATAAATATGAAAATAATCTTATAATCTGATGCTGTATAACAAATCTGTGTACATTTTGTTATTTCATTTTATTGCAAACACATGTTTAAATAGTAGTGACGTAACGTCAGATGTTGACGCACAGACAAAGAATCGCGGATTTAGCTTCAACAACGTTATATAAAATCTGAAAAGGGATCAAATAGATATGTTATTATATACCATCTTGTTCAGAAAAAAATTGCCTCAACATTTCATTAAAATATATAGAAGGTTCGAGTGCAACGTTATAATCGCCGATATAACGTCAAAATTCGCCATTATTCCAATGTAATGTGTAACGTAAACGGGTTGCGCGTTTAAATAAATGAATACTTAAAAGTAAGATATCGGCCCATTCTGCAGACGTTTGAATTTTAAATCTATATAACAATGTTTTCTTTAATTATATGATACTTGAAAATCGATATCATTTTTGGAAGTTGTAAAAAATACAGGAAACCCACATGTATCATTTGTGGAATGTTTTTAGTTGTTCAAAATGTCCGTTCATTTGCAATATGATTTCTAGATGAATATGTTATGTCGTTTGCCCGATTCGGTTTGTTGCAAGTTCTTAATCTATTCAAACGATCTGTAAAATTTTATAGAAAGAGATATGGCGGGTTGCTATGCCTATTTCCCCAAAGCTATGTTACGCTAGTGCGCGCATCCACCGTGCACTGTTATGACGCGTCCTCAGGTATTTTTATACAGGTAGCAATATCGGAATCCCGTGTCTAAGAATAGATTATTGTAAACAAACCATATATTTGGTATTTCACTTGATATAATTACTATTGCCAGTTGGAGGGTAAAATAATTCATAAACTTCATCAAAAATAGTCCTACCTACAAAGCGTAGCTGTACTGTTCACGTGTACAGGGATTTGTTGACATGTTTCGATAGAAGTATGTCGCACTAAATAGTAAAGAAATTATTACTAACAAAACTGATAAAACAATAGGTATGTTATTAAAAATGAAAACAAAATTTTCCATCGATTTAAAAAAACTATTGCCTTATTAAGGAAAATGATCACATGCCTAAATATTTAAAAAAAAATAAACAACTGAAGGAGGATTCGAACCTGCACCGTATATTTTCTAGTCGCAAGTAAACTGCGTTACACATTCGGCTACATAGAAACACCTGTCGCAGTTTAGAGAAACTTGATCACCCCTGTTTTTTCATTATTTTGAGCACTTTCCCAAAGGAGGACCACTTTTCCGTATTACGATTTGTTTTTGCAAATTACATCACGGTCACAAAAAGTTTATTCAAAAGTTGGTCCTCAGATGGGAAAGTGTTGAAAGTATTTTTTTAAGTCCGGGAAACCCCATCACTTTCATAGATATAGTGTATATGGCTATATTTGCAGTATCATATTAGCAATACCTAATTTCTCAGCAGTTTAAAAATTCATATTCAATTGGTTTTGTATCTTTTGTATGCATTTTTGCTACCCGAAATGTTTTACTCCTTATTTTTTTTCCCGTTTTCATAAATGCCGACTAAGGGAAATACGGCCAGTTTTCCGCCATACCTCTTTGAGCGACAATATCTGGGGAATTTAGATATTACTGTGTCTAGCCGTTATGTAACGGTCCATAAAATGCGACATTTTTGTTTTTTTACATATTTGTGACTTTCGAATGAAATGACGCATCTGTTTTCTGAAATAGAAAAAACATGCATTGGCAAGTTTTTTGACTCAGCTTTTTGAAGCATAACTTAGATATATTGTGTGTCCTAACACCGCTGCACAGCAATGATTTCCCCATGTCTAGCCGTTATTTAAAGCTACGCTGTTTTGCGTCGAAAACGTTAATTCGAACGTCATTTCCTTGTTTGTTTATCAACAAAATTAAACGTTTTTCGTGAATGTTTTATGGTCGTTTTTTTCACGCAATAACAGTCAAAACATGCATACTTATTATTAATATCTCAAGGTTTCATTTTATGTACATTTTGTAATTATCGGTTTTCAAATTTCCAACATATTTTGTGTGAAGTATGTGGCATTTATTTAACGATTTAGTTTTTAATAATTCTTTCATAAGCTGAGTAAACGAAATAACTGGTTTAAGCGGGAAAAGATGATATTTTCGTAATAGAGAGATACAAATATGCATAACATCGTTACTTTATATTTGAAACATCCCAAAACACTGAGTTTAATTTGATGTCAATGGCTTTAATAATATCAGTTGGGTATTTGCACATATTTGTAAAAAAAAATCACTAACGTAACATCAATCACTTTTAAGGAAAACGCAGAGAGGGATATATGATAAAGACATCAATGACTCAGCTCTGTGTATTCGAAGCAAAAGATAACGAAACCGCGCGTATTTGTTTAATAAACAATAGTTAAGGAAATGGTTGAATCGTTGTAATAGTTTTCTACATCCATCTTAAGGTGTGCAAGATCAGATATTGACCCTGTAAGACACGACTT